TGGGGAAGCTCAATTTTTTGATAAGACAACCGGCTGCAGCCAAACCATACTCATCCGTAGAAAATAAAAATTGCAGAAAGAATCTAATAATAATCAAAATGAATCACCTCTTTGTAGAGTTTCGTCTCGCTAATCGGTAGAAGTACACCCAAGTTGCCCTCTTTATAAAAACCGAACCACTGAAAGCAGCTTTAACGAAGTGCCCAAAATACGAAAGAATCGCTTACTCGAGAAAACGAAAAGAGTGAGAGTCTTTGGAATACATCTAAGTTCCGTTAATTAAAGATAATTATTTCTATCACATTCTGGATTATTCCTGATATAATGCCACTACCAATTTTCTCCTTTTGTCTCACCGAATAGCTTTCTAAACTCATTTGTCTTATAGAAAATTCTTTCAATGATTTCAGTTCTGTATGAAACTTTGGTAGTCCATTATGTAATTTGCTGGTGGAGAACCTTGACTGCTTTGAAGAACTAACTCGGTTAATTACCCCAAGCTTTGAAAAAAATTGATAAGCTTACAAAAAGGAAAAATATTTTGGAGAAGCGAGACCAGTTCGATTGCTTCAGCTAAGATTGGGGAAAGAGTTAAACTTGTAGGTGCTCGTTCAAATCAGCGGTCTTACGATAACCAGTATCTTCCGAATCGTTTGTTTTTCTTTCCTTTTTTGTCCAAAAATTATTAGAAATGCATGTAATACAGATGTTGCAAAGCACTTAGAAAATTTCCTTCCACATGTGATGAACGCCAGTCGATGATAACCGGCATCACAACCAGTAGTGGCGCTATCAGTGTGATGTCAGAGATTATGGGCATAAGTGGCTGCAAAACTTAAAAAATATCGTGAGAGGGAAAAATATTACATATGACTCCTTCGGCACAACCATCTCGTCCTGTTCGAACATAATGAGCAACACATTCTCCAATTTCAGCAGATTCGTCTTGTAACTAGAGTTAAACTCCTTAAATGATCAACATATAAGGCAAAGGCAGAAAGCAGATCTAGGCAAGTAGGTCAAATGTAGGAAATCAAACTTAAAAAACTATGTACAACATTTAGCGATTTAGAAGTAAAATAACTTATCCATTAACTATTTTAATGCCATGCGATCATAATCCGAACACTGCAACTCAAACTGAAAGACGATAAAGCGCTCGGCATTGACCAATCCATGTGGGATGTGCCACGCATTTCGACTCCATACCGTGACTCTCGGGCGTGATCGAAATGCACATTAGGCCTAGTAAACGACTTTCGGTGGTCCACAATATACTGAGTCGGTGTTTTTATCCTCCCAGACCAAGACTCCGGTAGTATTTCGCAGACTCTACAGGGAATCAGGGCTTGATTTGCACAGTGCATGGGTTCGTATGAGCGATCGATCCTGATCATCTCCCAGGGCACCTCTACCCACTCTGCTTGGGGGCTCACGCGCCCGTGCACATTTATCACTCATAGATGCAACTTCTTACTTTCCTCCTCATTGAATGAATTCTTTTCTCATAGAAGTCCTTCACCTACTCGCTAGTCGTTGATGTCGACAAGAAAAGTGTTTCCTCCTTTATATTTGTCTTCATAAAAAGCGTTATGCCAATATTAAGCTTGTACAAGCCTAAAACACAAATGTATACAAAAAAACTAGGTGTTTAGGAGAGGTATCAAGAATCTCATCATGTTATCATTAAACATTTACTCGAGGCTTTCAAGACCGCACTGATTCCGTTCGATACAATTGGTTATCAGCAAAGTGACATTCCAGATAACTAACTTTTGTAACTAGAAAGGAAATCGACTCAGAAACATTTTTCAAGAAACAGCAAACTGCAAGACATCACTGAAAGTTTTCAAGCCATCAAGGAAAGGGACATTAGCGGGGTTTTCGTTTCCGGTGTCTGTGCGGTAGCATATCACTGCTTGTTAAGCCGCTATATCTACATCCTTAGTCCATAGAGCCAACTTTACTAGAACTCTCATAAATTATCGCTGATACGAATCGCTGCCTCAAAATCTCAAATCTGTCTCAACACATCAACAGCATAATCGCTATCACCTAAGTGCCTATTTATAATATCAAACCTTATAGTATCTGAAAAACTTCTTGGTTGTTAGCTGGATAGATATAACTCAAATAGAGCTGAAACTGTAAGAATGAAGTGTGTTAGTGTTTAAAAAGCTCACTGACAAAGAATGCTCACAAATCGGCCTACTTTGAAGAAATCCTATGTCGGCAAGAAAGGTGAAAAATCTCCGATACATGTTGCGCAGCCACTAGTTGCCCAAACAGAACGGCATTCCAAACACTCCTTGATGCTGGCCACCAACTGAAACCTGACAAATCTGATCATTTGAAAACGTTTGTATTAAACATAATGGCCACCTAAGAGTAGTAGAATATGCGGAGTTTAATGAGGTACCAGGAAACATAAGAATATGAAGTGCATGAAACATTGGACAATGTCACGTAAAAAAAGGATAAAGGATAAAGCTCTCGGCGTTGATCAATCCCTGAGGAATGCGCCATGTATTCCACTTCATTAAGTATCGTTGGAGGTGATTGAATGCATATCTGGCCTTTACAATAACTCGCGGTGGCCCATCGATATATCGAGCCAGTACTGCTATCCTCCCAGACAAGTCTGGTACCAAGTTACCGACCTCGGAGGGATGGAAGGCTTGGTGGGCACGAGTGCTTGAACCAATTCCACTTGTGTGTTGCAGGGCGGCTCCGACCGCTGCGCCACACGCGCCCTACAATGTGACGTAAGAGATATAATGCTGACAATGTGACGTAAGAGATATAATGCTAGCTTCTTGCGCGTGGACTATCTTATATTCTAGAGGGTTTCCTTGGTGGATTCATTGGTAACAGACTCGTTTGGAAGAAAGAATCTAAACAGGAAGCCTACCATATAAATTAGTTCCTTACCATTAATAAGAGCTAGGATGAAATCTGTGAATAGCAACGGTGAAAAATTTGGAGCTACCACGCTAAGATCTCCTTATTATCATTATCACCTGTATCACCTGTACTCCCGTTGACTGTCGAGTGACTCGAGCGGGCGCCGGTAAATCTTCCATTTTTCCCTGTCGCGTGCAAGAGTAGCCCAGTGGGTTCTGCTCGCTCTAGGGACTCGTCGAGCATCATATCTTTCTTCAAGGTTCTTTGTGAAGAACTCTGACTACAGGGTCGGTGGTCTTCATGCAGTACGTGTGACATCCCGAGGAATCTGGTCGCTAACGGCTCTTGTCCATCGGCTGTCATTCATACGCATTGTGTGTCCGGCCTAGGTTATCTTCGACTGTTTGGCGTACAGAACGGCATCTTTGATTTTTGATCGTTGACGCAGATCAGGGCTTCGGATTCAATCCCTTACTTGTGTGAAACGGGATACTTCTAGCATCATCCTCTCGACTGCGCTTTTGATAACGCTGAGTGACCTTTCATCTTGATTACGCAGTCACCAGATTTCCGACGCATACGTTAGGGCAGGAACCACTGTTGAGTCGAAAAGGTGGGCACGGAGTCGGGTGTTCTTTGTTCTCTTCGTTACATTCTCGATGCTCTTGAAATCTTCCCAAGCCGCTCGTTTTCTTCTGCTCAGCTCTGGAACTAGGTCGTTCATTATATTGATTTCCCGACCTAGACAGATATAACTGGAGCATTCGGAGATATTCGTTCCGTTGAGCGTGAATGGGGCATGCGAAACCAATCCGTTCTTCATGAACATCGTTTTTGTGAAATTTAGTTGAACAGCAATCTTTCCACAGGTTCTATCAAAGTCGGCAAGCATACGTTCCGCTTGGGTAATGTTTGGTGTTATAAGGACAATGTCATCAGCAAAGCCAAGATGGTGTAACTGCCGACCACCGATTTTCATTCCCATACTATACCATTCCAATGTTCGCATGACGTTCTGGAGTGTGGCGGTAAATAATTTTGGTGAGATGGTATCGCCTTGCCTAATTCCTGTTCTGACGTCAATGTTAATATCGTTGTAGAATGGTGAATGGTTGTGAAATTTCTATACAGCTCACGAAGAATCTTTATCTATTGAGTAGGGACTCCTTGACTATTAAGGGCTTCCAAGACCGCTTCTATCTCAACTGAATCAAAGGCCTTCTGCAAATCGATGAAAGTGAGACAAAGCGGTCTTTTGTACTCTCGCGATACTTCAATAAGCCGTGTTGCCGTGGAATGTGATCCATCGTACTAGATCCTCTTCGAAACCCTGCTTGCTCTCATGGCTGTCCTTTGTCTGGTGTTCTGTCAATCCTATTTAGGATGACTCGAGTGAAAAGTTTGTAGACGACAGAGAGTAAGCAGATTGGGCGATAGTTGCCGATATCGTGCAGGCCACCCTTCTTGAACAATAACATGGTCTTGCTGATCTTCCACTGAGCAGAGACCTCGCATTCAGACAGGTAAGAGCCGAGCCAGTGTCTTTACGAGGTCTGGGGGAAGGTTATGCAGCTGTTCTGGTCTTATCCTGTCCGGGCCTGGTGCTGTTCGATTTTTCACCAACGAAATGGCATATCGGATTTTGGAACGGAGAACTGGTGGTACAACATATCCATCCTCCTTTATTTCATATGACGGAAGGTGGATGTCGCTATCGAAGAGATCCGAGTAGTATTCGTGAATGATTTTCTCCATTGCCTTTCTGGACGCTGTAACTGTTCCGTCTGGACGTCGGAGGGCAATCATCTTGGTCTTGTAATTGGCGAAGCTTCAGTGGAGTTTGGGAGTGCTTTTCCCAGCCTCTGCAGCTTCGACCATTACTGCTGCTCTTCTCTCTTTAAGATCTTCCTTTGTCACCTGTCTGCATTGTTTTGCAAGTCAAAGAGCCTTGAAGAAAGTTATGATTCTCGACGAGTCCCTAGAGCGAGCAGAACCCACTGGGCTGCTCTTGCACGCGACAGGGAAAAATGGAAGATTTACCGGCGCCCACTCGAGTCACTCGACGGTCAACAGGAGTACAGGTGATACAGGTGATACTATCCGTTTTCGGATAGGTTGATTTGAATGTTTAGAAATGGAAGCCAGTTTTCTTTCGGTTTCTCACGGGTGAATTTTATGTACTCTGACTGTTCGTTCAAAAACTCAAAGCATTTGTCCATCTCCTCTTGTGTGGAGCAGATGACAAAACAATCGCCTATCTACAGTTGACTAATGGCCTGAGATCGATTACTGCTGCTTCCACTTTAGACATAAAGCAACGGCGAGGATTGGCGCCAGTCGCTGCCCTATTGCCAACTCTCTAATTCGCGCGTAATATTTCCCGAACCAACTGAAGAACGAGCAGTTTAAATAGACCTTTAGGAAGACTATAAGCTGCTGAATCGAAAAGCTATACATGTTAATTGATCCTTCGTGTTGCTCAAGAAGCTCGCGGATGGTTTGCATTGCGGAGTCGTTCGACACGTTAGTGTAAAGGGTGGTGACGTCGAACGACTCCCTAACGTACACGTTTTTGGGACGTGCGATGGGCAGACGGTCAAGGAACACTTGGATGTTCGTGAGATGGGCTGGCATGTGCTTAAGTAACTGGTTGAGGATTAGATTTATAAACCAAGCAATTCTATCCGTAGGCCCGTCTACATAACTGATGATGGGTCTAACTTTAAAGGTGGTGGGGTCGGTAGACGCCACATCATCAGCGGATATTAACCTATGGGTATTGATAAGTATAGGACGGGACATGTCGGCACTTGGATCTTAAGATGCTAAATGTCCGCTGGTTTTAAGCCTGCTGCGCTTGCCATTTTGACCCATTCGTTGTTCAATTTTCGATTTTGACTTCTAAATTCCTCTTCAGTAGATGCGCGATAAAGAGATGCGTCTTCAAAATGTTTTTCCGTTATATCGACATCTAACTGGCGAGGAATTACTACAAACTCTAAACCCTTATCACTAACTGATAATCTAATAGTCTTTGATTTTATTATCTCTCGAACTTGTCGCATACCAGATTTTTGCGCAGCTGTAAGGCTCGAACTAAACTTCTTCGCACGATAGTGGTTAAGGGTTTTGAGAGTTTCGCTCGAAAATATACGAAATTTTATATCGACTTCGTCGTTTGGGTCTTGCTGTCTAAAGAATAACCGAGGAAATGGAGGCGGTGTTAGTGCCCCTACTTCATGTAAGATTTTTCATCGCCGGATTAGGACGTCTTTGTGCAACAGCTCTCCTGAAAGTACTCAAAATTCATTTCATAGTACTAAGAAGCACAAGTATAAAACTCGGCCAACTGAGGATTTCGGATCTTTGATCACAGCCGTATGAGAGAAATAGCAATCAGATGAACCTGTGTATATTCTTGAGGATTTCTGGTGTAAAGGAGGAGTTGCTCACAGAAAGTGTCCTCTTTGCGAAAAACTAACAGCGTTGTACCCGTCTTTAAGCTGAGTATGGTTGCCAATTTGGTAGTATGCGTTTTCTACCAAGTCGTTCATGTTCCCAAGGAAACCGTACCAGAAGTCCTGTGAAACGGGAGCATTCTTGCTTAATACAACCACAACGTTGCTGAGATATTTGCAAAACTCTGGACCGCAGGTGTCTATGATGGGGAACGAACGCGCTTTTGTCCTTTCCGGTGAATAAGGCGTTCACCACCACACCATGCGTGTCCTTCGTTTCGACTGTCTCTCAGCTAGTTCTATCGATCTTTTTGCCGATTTAGGCTCACCAGATCAACCCCGCTGATGGGTGATTGCTGTGGCAAAAAGATCGATAGAAATAGCTGAGAGACAGGGTAAACGAAGGACCCGCATGGTGTGGTGGTGAACGCGTTACTCCCCGGAAAGGACAATAGCGCGTTCTTTCCCCACCATAGACACCTGCGGTCCAGCGCTTTGCAAATATCTCAGCAACGTTGTGGTTGTATTTCGCTTAGTAACCTGCCATGAAAATTATAAAAGGCAAAAAACAATACGTAAAAAAGCATTCTTGCTTAGCTTTGTATTCCGTATTGAGTTTTCACTTATATGAATATTTAAACGGCTAATGGTCACGAAAAATAGCGTGTGTCTTTGTATTGTTTCTACTTGTTTAGAAATCTGATTATTGACTAAGGTTTTCTTTCTCTGGAGATAGTTATCTTAGGATATTCTAATGCCGTTACCAAAGACGCTCGCCAGTTCATGAAGATAGGGTAAATTTTAAACTTGTGACTAGATAACTACTAGAATGGAAGCAAGTTCTGGTGTCAGTTTATTCCTGATTCGGCTTTTAGATAGAGATTTCCATCTTCTCGTTGGGAGATCCTGATGGAGCAGAAACCCCCACAGCTTTACACCGAAACCACCCATCACTTAAAGGCAATAATGTTGAGGAAATTAGTTAACACTTTCCTCGTTATAAGCAATTAATTAAAATAATAAACAAAAAATAACTGACCTACAAATGTGCAGTACAATAAGAAGCAGATCATCCTCTCCAAGGACTATGGAACATATAAAACATAATTCTACTTTACTCCGCTTAAATTTTTAAGAATCTTCCGATATCAATGTTAAATTTTCAATGCACAGAAATTCTGATGAAAAGTCTTTTAAAAAGTAACCTACAGAGTTTTCTTTGCGACCGAACAATGGGTATTTCACGTAGGTCTGTCCAGTTCCATTTCTAATCAGAGTTTTCATGCTCTCCATTCCCCCACTGCAGCAGGTATCACCTGAATACAGTAAAGGTTGGAAATGTGCTCTACGGTGAAGCTATAGTATTAACGCAAAACAAAAACAACACCAAGAAGAGCAACAACAACAACAACACAACACCAAGAGGAAAAACAAAAACGACACCAACAACAAAAACAACACCAACAATAACAACAACCTCAACAACGATACCAGCAACAACAACAACAACACCAACGTAACCAACAACAGCAACGACAATAACACCAACAACGACAAGGGTACAAAGAACAGCATCAACAACAACAACAACGACACCAACACCAACAAAACCAACAACATCAACAAGAACACAACACCAACAACAACGTCAACAACGATAACGACACCAATAACAACATCAAGAACGATAACAGCACCAACAACAGCATCACCAACAACAACAGCACCGTCAACAACATGAACAAGAACGCCAGCAACAACACCAACAGCAGCACCATCAACAGCACCAACGACGACACCAGCTGCAACACCCACAGCGACAACAAAATCAAAAACAATACCAACAACAACAACAACGACAGCAGCACCAATAACAACAGCACTAACAAGGAAAACAACACCAACAACACCAATAATAACACAATCAACGACATCAACAACAACAACAACAGCAACACCAACATCAACAACGACAACAGCACCAACGGCAACAACAACAGCCGTGAGCATCTCAGTTTCCATGGTGTGGTAAACTAACAGGGAGAAACTAATATTAGTAATAATATAAATGACGAACAATTTAGCCACCACGAATTGATGAAAGGCATGGTGAGCCCAGAGTGCCAAATCGAACTAACGACATCCTGTGAATTGCATGGTACCTCTAATCAATACGCTACGCATCCTCAAATTTAAGCATGTCGAAGCTCTCTGTAAAAGTATTTTTGCAGAAGAATACATGGATGTAAGACTGAGCTCTACAAAGCTGAGATTTTGCGCTGATCTGATCTATACACTCTAGGAATTTCTGCACTTTATAGTATGCAGATGGCAACCCGTTCACTCAGATTAGGTAAGAATATTAACAAGAGCTGAGACCCATACATTACTCTTCCCATTGCGCTATATAAGTCCTTACATTAACTGCCTTGTTTATACCACGGAATGGTAGAAAAGCAACTGCCTATTTCGAAATACTTGCAAGTTCTTGTAGCTGTTGTTCTTGGTGTTGTTGCCATTGCGGCTGTTGTTGTTGTAGTTGTTGTTGCCGTTGGTGTTGTTGTCGTTGTTGATGTCTCGATCCTGTTGTCGCTGTTGTTGTCATTGGTGTTGTTGTTGGAGTGGTTTTTCTTTTTGTTGTTGGTGCTGTTGTCTTTGTTGATGTCGGTGTTGTTGTTGTTGATGTCGTTGATTGTGTTATCATTGGTGTTGTTGGTGTCGTTTTCCTTGTTGATGCTGTTGTTATTGGTGCTGCTGTCGTTGTTGTTGTTGTTGGTGTTGTTTTTGATTTTGTTGTCGCTGTGGGTGTTGCAGCTGGTGTCGTTGTTGGTCCTGTTGATGGTGCTGCTTTTGTTTTCGTTGTTGTTGTTGGTGCTGTAGTTGGTGCTGTTGTTGGCGTTGCTGTTGTTGTTGCTGGCGTTCTTGTTCATGTTGTTGACGGTGTTGTTTTTGTTGTTCGTGTCGTTTTTGCTTTTCCTCTTGGTGTTGTGTTGTTGTTGAAGTTGTTGTTGTTGATGTTGTCGTTGTCGTTGTTGTGTTTTTTCGTTCTTGTTGTTTTTGTTGTTGGTATTGTAGTTGTTGGTGTTGCAGTTATTTTTTGGCGCTGTTGTCGTTGTTGACGTTTTTGTTGGTGTCGCGTTGTTGTTCATGTTGTTGCTGTTGTTGGTGCTGTTGTCGTTGCTGATGTCGTCATTGGTGTTATTGTTGTTGGCGAAGTTGTTGGTGTTGTTATTGGTTTTGTTGTTGTTGTTGGTGCTGTTGTCGCTGTTGTTGGTGCTCCTGGTGTTGTGTTGTTGTTGAAGTTGTTGTTGTTGATGTTGTCGTTGTTGTTGTTGTGTTTTTTCGTTCTTGTTGTTTTTGTTGTTGGTATTGTAGTTGTTGGTGTTGCAGTTATTTTTGGCGCTGTTGTCGTTGTTGACGTTTTTGTTGGTGTCGCGTTGTTGTTCATGTTGTTGCTGTTGTTGGTGCTGTTGTCGTTGCTGATGTCGTCATTGGTGTTATTGTTGTTGGCGAAGTTGTTGGTGTTGTTATTGGTTTTGTTGTTGTTGTTGATGCTGTTGTCGCTGTTGTTGGTGCTCCTGGTGTTGTGTTGTTGTTGCTGTCGTTGATGTTATTGTTGTTGTGATCCGATGGCTGAGGTTTCAGCGACCTCGTCTCCTTCAGAGAGCGCAGAGCTCTCGAAGCGTATTGGGTAAACTTCAGAAAACCAAAATTAAATAGGAAAGATGGATAGCTCACTACAAGTGACATGACTCCTTTTCTAAGGTTGATTAAGGTTCTAGAAGAGTAGACGATCTAGGAATATTTTGGTATTCGTGAGATGGGCTGTTATGTGCATAAGCAACTGGATGAGAATTAGGTTTATAAACTATGTTGTAAACCAACCAACTCTACCAGTAGGCCCGTCTACACAACTGACGGTGGGTTTAACTTTGAGGGTGGGGGGATCGGTAGACGTCATATCACCAGAGGATACTAAGTTATGGGTTTTGATAGGCAAGTATAAGACGGGACATGTTGACAATTCGATCTTAATATGCCAAATATCCGATGGTTTTAAAACTGCTCGGTTTGCCACTTTGGCCTACTCGTTATTCAGTTTTCGAAGTTGACGTTTGAATTCCTTCTCACTTGATGCGCGATAAACGAAGCGTCTTCAAGATGTTTTTCTGTTATCTCAACATCTAACTGGCGAGGAATTACTGCAAACTCTTCACCCTTATCACTAACTGTTAGGCTAGTAGTCTTTGATTTTATTAGTTCTCGAAGCTGTTGTATACCAGATTTTTGGGCTGCTGTGAGGTGCAACGAAACTTTCTCAAGCGATAGTGGTCACGACTTTGAGAGTTTCATTCGAAAATATGCAAATTTGTTATCTAGTTCATCGTTAGGGGCTTGCTATCTGAAGAGCTATCGAGGAAAAGGAGGTGGTGGTAATGTCCCTGCTTCTCGTTGTTGATCTTGAAGCTTGTGAAGACTGCATCTGATCCTACGAAAATGTTTCTTTCGAAATGGCTTGCGCTGGTGAGAAACTTGGACTCAATTCTAATAGCGAGCGAGCGTTGTCAGGAGGAGTTATGCCTCCTAACACGGTGACCCTTGACTTTGCAGGCATGTGTTATTGGCCACATTTTGACTGGTATAACTTTCGTAATCGGTTTTGCTTTGTTTAATTGAGGCTGGTTTGTGAGAATGGTTTAGTAAATTCTGAAACTTTCCCTTTAAGGCTACTTTACCATTTGAGCTAATGGAATCTTAAATCAAAATTGTCCCACCCACTCTTCTCCTCCGAAAGGAATCGTCCAAATACTGAACGCAGCAAGATTCCTTCGACTTGCACTTCTTCATTTACGCGTACATGCTGTCTTGCTTGCACGGAAGAGAGGCGCATAGTAGTTGTGTTTCGATGTCCAGTACTCGTTGGCTGTCCTTCAGTAAGCTGCATACGGCGTGTAGTCGGTTTTGTTTGATGAATTTCGGCACTACTTGATGTTTCAGTTAGCGGCGGTGAAAGCATATCATTTGTTTAGCCAAGTTTTCTACTTTTATTCTGTTTTCATTCTATTGACGGCGCGACATCCTTAAATAACCCGACGAGATACAAGATTGTACTCTGTTTAAGATCGTTATTGTCCACTACTGCTATCGTCAGTTAGTTCGCAACAGCCTTTATGACCATCTGTGCGAAACACAAAGCTGAGTAATTTGCCCTTACGGCAGGGAGGGTGACTGCATGAGTTCAGGTACGATATACCTGATTTCTTGAAGTACTTGCGGAGATGAATATATTGGCGTAACGGCCACACCTTCATGTATCCATGGAAAAGAACACCTACATGGCAAACGAAAGGTAATACAAAGAACCTCACTAGGCACGCATGGGATACAAAAACAGCGGAGACGATTTTGATATAAAAGTCACTATCTTCGCACAGGAAACTAAAACACTAAAGCGCAAACTTCTTAACGCTTTTTGGATAAATGCCAAGAACCCTGCAATTGATAGCAGTGAGGAGTGAAAACGGGTCACACGCGACTTGGCCCCGTATCTTCGCATCAATTTCTGATGTGGAGTGGTGCAGTCATCAACCATATGCGACTTTAATCAGCTGTTCTAATCCTCCTCATTGGAAGTCACGTAAAAAGCGATGCTGAAGAAGGAGATACTGCCGAAACGTCAGCTACTGTTCTATTGTATTGTTGTTCTATGGAAGTAAATGTATGCTGTTTAACAACCTCACGATTGCTGAACAAGAAAACGGCGCATTCATATTCCAATGCCGAGGTTAATAGAAAGTCGACCCTGGGAACTGTTCTAGAAGAGTTTCACCCGTCACCTCGGGTAGAGATGGTCTCACACAGAAAACGATGACTAGTTCTTAACAAAGTGGATGTCATTTCTGCAACAACTTTTCATTAGCACTATAGATAACTCATCGATTTATGTGGACAGCTGTAAATAAAATACAACCAGGCTCTGCAGGATGTAAAGTAGCTGAAACGTCACCTATCGAATCACAAAAACAACGGACACCAACCTAACGTCAGCTCACCAAGGGCAATTCCTGAAACTTACATAAATTAACAATTAGTGCCGAGGTTCATAGATAGTCGGTCTTTTGAGTCATTAAATCCATGTACTTTTTTTTCCCAGATCCATTTCATTTGAAATTTGGAATTACTACAAAGAAAACCCCTACAAACGGTTGGAGTTACCGTAGTTGACCCAACCAGCGGCACATAAGGTTCTCGAAAATCCTTTGTTTTTGTGCAAAGATGGTGAAGGACCACTGAAGGAACACATGGTCAAGTTAACGCCAAGACGATCAACAATTGCAGCACTGTAGTATGGGATGAGTTCGGTTAGGTCTGTGGGTCCTCACTGTTCAAGGTATAAATCCCAGAAAATACCTCACCATTCTACAATATGAAACATGGCCAGTTATCAGTACTTGGAAAAATACCGAAGATTTGGTTTCCATGCAATATCACGCACCCTACATCTAGCTATTATTGCTCCTGAATGGCAAAATGCCCATCCTCTGCTAGATATGTCGTCACACTCCGTATGAAATTACCTACCAGAACCCCTGCTTTAACACGTTGTACCACGCCCCCGGTGATCAGTTAAAAAACAAGTGTACTCCACCAAACCAAAAACATTGAAAGCATTTCAAGGATGAATACAAGAAGTTATGTCTTCCATTTCACTACAGTTCTTGATGAAATCGGTTGATGAAGAGCACGGGCGAATAAAAAGCTGGTGGACGAATGCTAGTGCCTGTACTGAATTTCAAATAGAACTTCCTGCTACATGCTTCATTTTTACATCCATTTCTTGTGAAAATTAAAGTTAAGGAATAAATTATAACAGTTTCAAACTAGCGACTTTCTTCTAAATCACTCTGTATGAATAGGCGAAACATGGAAGGTAAATTTCAGTGGAACCGATGAACGCCATGAACCATGGCATCTGCTCTAGTATATATATATATATATATATATATATATATATATATATATGTATATGTATATAGATCATTTTATTCCTGACTCGAGAAACATACACTTGCGTCTGCAAACGTCATATGGAAGGAAAAAGAGCAAAAAACTATACAATGCGCAACTCATGCGACCCACGTTGCAACAAATACATAAGTTAATAATATATTTAAACAACATGTATGCCCCTAGAACAAATGAAAGGAAGAGATTCTAGACAACGCAACTTGGTTCTGAAATGTAATAACGTACAGGATGAGACGATGCGATTAGCAGCAAAAAAAAAGAACACAAAAGGAGACAAACGACCACCTCTTGTCATTATTTGAGCGCAGAAATTGTATAGGAAAAGAAAAGAACTAAATCTTGAAAAAGCAGCATCGGCTGAGCAAATCGTATTACAACAAACAGGTAAGGACGACTTGAATTGAGGTTTATTGTGGGATGACCCCGGAGGTTCGCCCTGTGGTCGGCCGAAACAAATAACGCATACAAACCATTCAAATAGAAATTTTGACCCGACAATCCCAGGTGCACAGAAAATGATACGATACAATCAAGGTGCGCCGACTGCTGTATAGTGTATAGTTGCTACATAGAGTCAAGTATATGATAACCGAATCAAACGAACTACGACGATAATAAGAAAAAAAAATAAACAAAACTGATGGTTTGACTGACGATGGTATCGCATGCGCTACACAACCTGACAACAATAGTCAACTTTGTGGGGGTAAAACATACATTCTAGGGGTCAACAACTATTAGACCGGACCACATTTGATGGTTGCCTTGCAGCAGCAGTACTTACATGATTGTCCCGAACAATGAATAAAAAATATACGAAATAAAAGGAAAAATGAAAAGAAACCGGAAAAAAACGAAGACCTTACTGAGAGGGACCAACCGCTAGGGGCCCTACCGGTACTCAACAATACCTACGCTACGCATCTGATACTCTATACCAAAAAGATTTTCATCCCTTTGCTGGTTTAACCTATCCTTAACGGATTCCATATAAAAGACACACGTACACAAGCACAGATAGACAGATATATCGACGACGGCAGCGGTAAAACGGACTGAGACGAAACGACGGCACGTGGCAAGTGATGGCGTTCTATAACAATGTCGATTTCAAGAAGTACCATTTCAAGCAACAGCGGTCATCGATCCGTTCTCTGCCCGTGTTTCTTTCAGCTTCAGTGGGCTGCTGTCCAGCTTCCCATTTTTCCTATCATACCCGTTCTCGACACAGGCACGTTTTGATGGTGGCGTCTTAGTGATACACTAAATTCTAAGGATTTGATTTTTATAGACATAGATTTTAAGATAAAAATCAGCGCATTTCAAAGGTACACTAACACTCACATCGTCATGAGTTCCTGAACGCTTGAATGCGGCTTTTTTCGTTGTTAAAGCAGTGGAGTCGCCGTTAATGGCTACAGGTGAACTATCGTCAGCAATAACATTCTCTGAAGCAATGTCGGTTGAAGCAGAAGAAGCCGAGTCGTCAGGTGTATTCTCGCATTTGACAACTTCAGATGGTTCTAAAGGGAAAGACAAATGTGTAAACTCAAAAAACAAGCGGAAAAGTGAAAAAAGTGGTAAGCTTCCAGCAAAACGAAAACTCTAGAATAGGATATGAAGATAAGAAACGAAGAAATAGCTCAGTGAAATAAAAACAATAACAGGATAACTACATCTGGACAGGAAGAAACTATCACGGTTAAGTAAGTAAAACAGGTAAACTCATAAAGTCTACAACCAAATCCATAAAGGAAATCATATGAAACTACACACCTCCATTATGTTTACAGTTGTCGTCATTTGTGTCTACATCCACTGCTTCCTCTTTAGCGGGCAACAACTGAATTTCGAACAGGGCATCCGCAATCATACCAGCAACTCGGGAATCCATCTGAAAACATACTCCATCTACGAACTATGCCGATCCAACGCATCTTCCATTTAAGCGGCTTTGTCCTGGTTTACCAAGAATTTCCACCAAAGTCCCGACAAAAATCGCGCTAATAAAGTAGCAAATAACCGGCAGTCTACTGCTCACTTAAACCAAACTAAACAGCCAATCCTGGCGGTACTTTCTTCCTTGCTGAGCTTTAATATGAAACCACTGAGTTACAGTCTTCTTTCAATTAGAAATCTCTCACCAATTGACTCATTGTGAACTGAAGTAACCGTTGCTGAAATTTCGCGAAAACATGGTACGCATTAGGGACTCTGACAAGAAGGCGTAGCATTGCAGCAGCTCGTCGCAACATGCCTACAGACGTGCCCATCATCTCCGGATTGTCGCGCAACGCAGGCATTCCATGCGTTTGCATAACCTGTGAAACAACGAGAGTTAATTAGTTCATGCTAAGGGATAGTGCAGTATGAAGAATTTGCAAATGAAATGAAGAAGAACGAAACCATATCAACGAGTAAAACAATCTCTAGTGGAATAAGCATTTTTAAAAAGTTAGAAAAACTGGAAATAACTCACTTGATGCATGTTCTGATCAGATGCCTCAATAAACGATACCAAGTTAGCAATTGCTGGCGACTGTACCGCAGCAACATAACAAACTGCCTCCGACGCGTTGCACAGAGCATTCAGAATGACTATGGCAAATTCTCTAAAACTAATTACACGTCAGAAGCAAATAAATTAGAGAACAAAATAAAAAAATACGAAGCAATAGTAGTAGAAATCTTGAGGGAGAAAATAAATTCATACCGATTGTGCGTTTCTTCGCTCATACTTAACATCTTTGCTAACATATGAACGATTTTCTCTATCCGCTGCCAGGATCCAGTGGATACTAGCATATCCACATTGCGCTCCATGACCGACATTTTGCACATTATTTCCAAAGAGTAATTTCTAAATATAACATTCATTTTGCAAATCAATAACAACATGAGTAATATTAAGTCAACGTTTGGTAGGGTTAAACATTGCTATTTGAAAACCCTGGCACACAAATCGGCTTTTCTAATTATAAAACCACCATAAAAGAGCTAAGTACTTTTAGCACTGTATACTTTCAGACGTTTAAGAAAACACACAGCGTACCGAGGAGATACTGCCGCCGGAGGTATTGGATCTGTCGCTTCAGGAACGCTAGTGGAACACCAGTGGAGCATCCCGTCATAAATTGGATAGGATAACCGATCGGGAACGTCATATAGATCCAGCTGAAAAAAGGGTGAACTTTATCCTAAAAAAGCAAAACATTTCACAAAAGAAACGTGAAATGACGGACATAACAGCAACAGTATCAACGATTTACCGCAACACTCATATGAGACAACATAACAAATGCGTCGTCACGCAGTTGATTGGCTGTTTCGACTAACAAAACCTCTCTAGCATCGTCAGAATCAAGCAAAGACAGCGCACGCTTCTTCAATGCATCGTACGATTCTGGCTCCGGTAAAGGCGCATCCTAGATAAGAAAGTTGTAAAATCAAACACGATTATGCAAAAACCACAAAACTTCTCAAACCAGATGAACCATAGAATCACATTTAGAAAGGAAACTATGTGAAAAGTACATATAAATACATACACACCTATAGGTGTCATACATATATACCTCTTCTATTTTCAAGGCAGGTTTTGCTCGTTGCACAGGAACTTCGGTGACCATAAGTTGAAGGAATCGTCCAAGAAGGAACAGCAAACCATTGTGACCACATAATAACTGCTCACAACCAGGTAAAAACGAGAAACCACGCAGGATGTTCGACAAAGCCAGTGCACGTTGAGCCTAGAATCAGGAATCTAATCTTCAGAAATTAAACATACACAGAATATTCAGACGGAAATTCAGAGTTGAACTCCTACAAATCTAAGCAAAAATTTAGTACATCACACAATTTATTATAGGCGGCTGAACAAAACGTTCTGAATTTTGTGAACAAGACATAAATTGCTAGAAATGTACAAATAAAGTTCAGAAAATAAGATCGGACAAAAAAATTACCAAAAAACGCGAACGATCTCAAAAGCTGCATCATTTTCACACATTTTTGAATGAAATTTTTAGAACAAGCAATTTTCAAACACTAAAAACTGTAATTCTTCGTATTTTTGTTGAGCAAACGCGAGGTATTATTATTCTTTATTCACGAATAAGCTGACGTTTCGGCAGATTTCGCCTTCTATGAGGTTTCCACTAAGTATGTCACGTAGAGACCAACCGCACAGAAATGACATGGAAGTATAATGTGCACATTACTTAGTGGAAACCTCATAGAAAGCGGCTCTGAGGAAGGCGAAATCCGCCGAAACGTCAGCTTCTTCGTGAATAAAGAGTAATAACACCTCGCGTTTGCTCAACAAAAATACGAAGAATTACTTGATCAATGCCGAGGTTGATAGAAAGTCGGTCGTGGGAGTTACTAAAAACTGTTCTATAGTTGTGCGTGTTTCAATCGAAGGTAAAGTGATATACTTTGTTATAGCATAAGTATTTCAGGAGTACAATGTTTTGCATAAAAAAGCAACAACGAAATTTTCTGCGATTCAAGAAACTGCTTAAGTTTCGCACTACCAATATTTTTAGGTAAGAAAGAGTCAATAAAATAAAGTAGAAAAAGCAGTAATATTGATTTTAAAGAGAAAACCCACAAATCGTTGCAGTGTCCCATCGTGACAAGCCAGCGCTGTTGAACGCGGCCAACGTATTTCGTACACGTTTGATTCACCAGATGTATCGTTCGAACGATCTCGACGTAGTAAGAGGATCTCGGGTACCTTAGCAAAATATGTAGTGAAAATGATGGTTTATCTACGTTGCTAAATAAGTGAGAAAACAGACCTTTTCACCGTCATCATTCATCTCTTGCTTAATCTTTGGCGGACTGTTTTCCTCCAACACATTGTTACAGGCCTCACGGTCCCCAGCACATTTACAACATCCCGCTTGGTTCTCTGCTCCAGACGCCCGCCATTCCGCTTGAAGTCGAAATGCCACACGTTCTGCTAATCCACCACCAAGACCCAGCTTTACTTTTTCTTCAACGTAAGCAGAAGTAAGCGTATCTAGAGAATAGAATTTGTGTGAAACCTGCCAGCTAAGCAGAATATTCTTATAAAGTTTTAACTTAAAAAAGAAGCATACCATCAACGGGCAGTGTACTTGGGCCTTCTTCCAACATCAATTTTCTTTTCAATTGCTCCGGCATCTCCATCTCCAGCACTTTTATTTTTCGTCCCGTTCGTGAGCACTTAAATGCACAATCTAATATAAAGTGAAAGACCTGCTTTAGTTAACACCTCAAGTAAACTACTGACTTTGTTATAATTCTTTTTCTTCTCAGGATTTCTTGTTGATACAGGCTGTTTCACTTCTTCGTGAGCGTTGCCGTTCGTCAAAAAAGGCAAACGTATCACATCATACTTGTATTCCGGAACGTGAAGAACAGATGGCTCATCTAGCTGAAATTCGTCCACATTTTAAACTTAAATCGTATAAAAGCTTATAGAAAACCATGACGTAAAGGAATTCGTCAAATAACAATTTGAGGATCAATAAGAAACACTTTAACACAGATAAGACGAGAAAGAAATGGAAGAAGCAAGTAATACCTTGGTATCATGAAAACGTACCGGGAATGTTTCAGGATAAAGGACGGACAAAGTCGCCCAGAAGTGCTCGATGATCACATTTAAAAGACCAGGCATTTGGGTAAGGCAAGGATGTGGATTGGTATCATCGTACAAAAGCACATTCAAAGCGTTGATTGCCCAGATTGCTTCGGTTTCCAGACCACTACGAAGTGCCATAATCAACCGCCGTGGAGTAGCCTAATGCAATATGTATGAATACACAGTACAACAGCATAAAATGAACTGAGAAGTAGATAGAAGTAAATGAAATAAAAAAGACTAACATTAATCAATTCCCTAGCCATGATCTTGCGTCGTCGCTTCTGGCTAATTACTGTTGCTTCAACACTGCCGTTCGGAAAATGATGTTGATGAGAGTACGGAATAGATGGAATAACTATTGAAGCCGTCGTAGGAGCACTGTGGGTAACAGATGGATAAGAGCCTCCTATTTGAGGTCTTGGAGGGTATTGTTGCTGCTGTTGTTGTAAAGGTGCAATTGGTTGTGATGGTGGTGGTTGCGGAGCATACTAAAAAAAAAGTCACATTTCCAGCAAAGTACGTAAGCAATTGGAATACTTTTAACCATGAGTAACGAAAACTTGCCCTCATTTTGTTGGCTCCTGGTGATGGTGCACTTTGTTGGCTCGAAGTCCCTTGCGGTGCGGATAGTCGTGAAGGATATGCATACCTGGGCGCTTGTGGAGCCAGCTGTCCAGGTCCTGGTGCAGGATAAGCACTTCTCCACATCTTTAATATAAATGATGAGTACTTAAAATGATAATGCTATTTCATTTAGACATTGCACAGCAGTCTTCCATAACATGTTTTTAATTAAATTTTCGCCAAATTTTATGAAGTTGCCTTCCGTAAATGCGGAACAATGTGTTGCCGCTGATAATCTTTATAATACCAACGGAGAGCTACAATAAGGCACAGCAACAAATGATAAACTTAGATTAAATTACCACAAATAATTTCAAAGTGAACAATACATGAAAACAAATTGTACCTGTTGCTGTTGTATGTATTGCTGATGTTGAGGATGTGCAGGATGAGCAGCCGGATGTGCCCCGGGGGCAAACTGAGGTGGTGGTTGCTGAGATGGTGTCACTGGATGACCAGGCGGCATACTGGCGTGAGGAGGGTGGTAAGGATAGCTTCCAGGGTATCCAGCTAAGACATGACCATTAGACAGTAATCGCAAGAAAAGGAAAGAAAGAGAAGGCTGTGCACACGACCGAAAACCAGAGGAAAACAAGCTTTACCTGGCACCCGACCCGGACCATTTGGATACATCGGTGCAGGCTGGCCATAGAACGGCGTCCCTGGCGGTTGAGAGGAACCAGATGGCTGCCCTGGAGGCCCAACAACAGCCATGCTGTAAGCATTATATATATTAGGCGAAAAGTTTGCCAACATGCTAAAAAAAATAAACAGATTTAAAAACGGTGCTTAACCGTATAAAACAACAGATCGATGGGATTAAAATCCCAAAACGTTATATGAAGTCATTAAAATATAATATAACCACTGATAGCAGAAAACACTATAATGTCTAATACTGGGGAAAAGCGTAAAAATCAGTGACGTCATTTTATATCTACTCAGTTGTGTTGCAAAAATCGCGTTCTCAGAGCTTTAGAGTCATCGCACAATAACGTGTAGTATAAACGTATCATCGCTACTACTGTTCGACGTTACTGCTTAATGTCGGCGACGTTACCGGCTTCGTTGGGGGCCGGTGAATCAATGGAGCGGGGTGTCGTCGTGTAAGAAACGNTCGCACAATAACGTGTAGTATAAACGTATCATCGCTACTACTGTTCGACGTTACTGCTTAATGTCGGCGACGTTACCGGCTTCGTTGGGGGCCGGTGAATCAATGGAGCGGGGTGTCGTCGTGTAAGAAACGTGTGCCCGTTGAGGCCATCACCGCCTCGGCGACGCGCGGACGTCACTGACGACGGAGGCGCAAACCGGCCGCGCAAGGTCACCCGCCGCCACCGTCGCCGCTGCCGCCAGTCTGTTCAACCGTCGCCCACCTGACGACGACAAGCGCCGCATCCATCCATCGTCGTCGTCATCATCGTCGTCGTCACCGTTGTCGTCGTCGACGACTGAGCCATCAGTACAGCACAACAACTAATGTTGTGGCATTACTACGATGATAAAAAACATACAACATACAACATACAATGAAGCACCGTTTCGTCAGATGCACTGATATTTAAAAAGAAACAGCAGGATAAAAAAGGACACAGTTGTCGGCGTCGATCAATCCCTGAAGAGTACACTATGCGTTCCGCTTCATTAAATATCGTTAAAGAATACTGGATGCATACATGGCCTTTAGAGTAACTGGTGGTGTCCTACCGATATATTGAGCCAGTGCTGCTATCCTCCCAGACAAGTTTAGTAGGAACTTTCCGACCTCGGAGGGATGGAAGCCTAGTAGGATTAGACGCATGGTCAAACCCGTAGGAATTGCAGGAAGCCTCCCACTACTACCTCACAAGCAAAAAAACCATAGATTACAACAATAGTATTCGTGGTGTCACAATTCGCAGATGAGTCCATCACAGCAGTGGTCTCCTTACACACGAAATAATTCTCATTCAAAAATGAACACAACTTTAGTTTCAATGACAGATCGAAGGAACGCAGTAAAGTGCATGCAAAGAAATGCACAAGGAACTCTAGTAAGAATTTTCGGAATACACAAACGATAAAAACCTTTGAAAAAAATTAAGCAAAGCGAGGGAAACTCCAACGAATAAACCAAAAAATCACTGCAAGTAGGAGATCCGAATACTTACTACCTAAATACGTTCGCTCCAACAAATATCATTTCACTTCAATGAGCTTCAAAAAACGGTCCTAGAGAAAAAACTGTGGCCGCTTTAAGAGTAATATATGCAATATATAAAAGTTAAAGGTAATAATATACGCAGAAATCCTGAAGTAGTTCACGCCAGTCGATTCACTACAAAAAATAAGCGCAAACTCTGAATACCTTCTTATAGATTAAAGGATGAAAAGGATAAACCTCCTAGTGTTGATCAATCAATGAGGGATGCGCCATGCATTCAACTTCATTACATATCGCTGGAGGTGACTGAATGCATATCTGGCTTTTACGATGACTCGCGGTGGCCTACCGACGTATCGAGCCAGTGCTGTCATCCTCCTAGACAAGTCTGGTACCAATTTGACGACCCCGGAGTGATAGAAGGCTTGGTGGGTGTGTCGCAATGGCGCCTCCAACCACTGCTCCACACGCGTCCTTACTCTTATACATTAGTCATTATAATTAAAATCAACTATATGAACTGGGAAGATGCTAGGATTTGAAAGCGGCGTCTGAAAGGTGAAGCCGGAACGACGACAACAACTCTTGAAGGCAGCTGGAGACGCTGAGTGTTCGTAGCCGTATCGCTGCGCCATGAGCGCTATTAGTTTCCACAATAAAAGTGCAGTGGACGACGCCGCCACAGCCACGTAAGCATTCTGCATACAAATGCCAGCATCGCCTTTCGCATAATAGAGTCATAAACGGTCGATTTTTCAACAGCGAAATAAGGATGTAAGATGAAAAATAACATTACGCGTAAAAGTACCCTACTGCAGAAATAAACAGTGGAACGAAACCATAAACCTTCCCTTAGTCTTTCTATCTCCAACTTACACATCATACTTAAAAACTTCTTTCGCATAAATAGGCGAAAAGATAAAAAATAAGAGATCATGAGAGCGAGACCATGCAAGCGAACCTCGTGGAAGGTTGAGGAATTGGGTGAGGTGCTGTTGTCGGAGTGGGAGCAGTAGTTACAACTGCAGCCGATCCAGGTCGCTGCATGTCGCTGCTAGTTTCTGCTCCTGCACTCATACGAGAGCTGCTATCTGGTGATGTAACACTAGGAACAGGGCCGGTGCTGGGAGCACGACTACCGGACTGACTCGGTGTATCCATCTGAAAAAAAAATGAAATAGAAACACAGGTGAAATCCAAAGACAATGCAGTGTAGTTACCTGTACAGTTACAGGTGTAGCTGACTGGTCAGAACCCGGACGTACTGGAGTTGTTGGCTGAACAACTTGACCAGGCATGTGCAGATTCTGTTGTTGTTGCTGTGACTGCTGTTGTGACTGCTGCTGTGGTTGCTGTTGTTGTTGCTGCTGTGACTGCTGCAAAAGTACTTGCTGTTGGTGGTGATGCTGTTGTTGTTGCTGCAGTTGGTGGTGCTGTTGTTGCTGCTGTTGATGGTGTTGCTGTTGCTGTTGTTGTTGTTGTTGTTGTTGTTGTTGTTGCTGTTGATGATGTTGATGCTGTTGTTGTTGCTGATGCACCATTTGTTGATGGTGATATTGCTGCTGCATGAAGTAATGGTGCCGTTGTTGCTCATCCATTTGCGAAAGATCCGGCTGCGGTGCACTCACCTGAAAAATGAATTCCAAAAATATAGTTTTGAAACATTTTTTGAAGCAATGGATGCTTAAATCTGAAGTCATTTCACAGAGCGCATAGTAGTGTTTAGGTCACTTCAGTCTAACACTACATTGTTTTTTTCTACAACTTATTGTAAATCGGACACTGTAGGCAGGTAATGACCCCTTCCACACACAAAAAAGTCGTACCATGTGCGGTTGCGGATGTGGTGCACGCATAGGAGTAACTCCAGGAGGCGGTCGAGGAGGATACGCTCCAGGCGGATAGCCAACGGGTGCGCCAGGAGGTACTGGTGGAGCAGCACCAGGTGGGAAGCCATGCGCTGCTTGCTGTTGCTGCTGCTGTTGATAATATAATGACGGGTCTTGATTAGGTTGAGGTTGAGCATGTGCCGACGCTGAAACGTACAACTCACATTATTTCAACTGCTCTAACGAGATAAACTGTTAGTCCGTTTGAATTTTGCAATTTGCTTCACTAATACGTCTACATTAATTAGAAACGTCCAATCATAAAATTCATAGATATCTTGAAAAAATCAGCCTTCAACTCACATAAGCACAGTTATTCTATTGTATTTATCATCGGATTTCCACTTTTTGCAAATCGATACATGCTTCATTCAAATTTAATTTATGACTAGATATCTTCTTCACATGTTATCTGGCCTTCTTGTCTGTAAACCTTGAAATCTATACATTTATGGGCAAAATCCACCTAGGCCATTCTATCGCAATATCTTGGATCTATATTCTGGTCCACTTCTGTAATTAGTCATTATATTAATACAGATAGTAACGACTCAAACGAAATGATAGCTCCCTCATCGCACTCTTCAATTCTAAAGCTTCTCCACAATCTCTCTAAGCAGCCGTCATTTTCATTATAAACAAAAGTTCCAAATAAGATCAAAACTGGATGAGTAAAATACTAATACGTCCGTCTCCAGCAATTCAAAAAAAAACGATAAACAACAGTTTTGCTTGAACTGCCGCTCTTCAACTGATAAAAGAACGAAAACGGAGTTCAGTGTACACCTTATATCCGTCGCAAAAGAACGAACATGTACGTATGTAGGTGCATGCACATATATACATACATATACATGTATACATGTATGTGCACATGTGCATACATATACATGTGCATATATGAAGGAACCAGGTAGCGTAATGGTAGTAGTGGCGATCATCACGACCACGGTGCTGATTCAACCATATACATGATTCACCCAGTATCTCATCCCTCCGGGGTTGTGAAATCGGTGCGATACTTGTCTGGAAAAGTCTAATCTCTGCAGTTCAAGTGCAAACACTCCAACCCTGCTATCTCAGGATTCCAGGGAGGATCGACTCGATCAGCATTCAATGACATTCACGACGAAATGAAAAATGCCAAGCAGCAACCGAACTCTACACGCAGGTTGAAATACCGCGAACTACGGATGCGAGAAAACGAATCGAATAGAAGAAAGGCTGCGATCCGCACAGTAGATGTAAACGACGGGTCGTGCAAAACTTATGTATGCACATATATATACACACATATATATATATATATATACGTGTGTTATTTTTTATGCATACGTGTATACATCACCCACTCGAGTCACTCGACGATCAACGGGAGTACAGGTGATACTACGTGCACATATATATATATATATATATATATATATATATATATATATATATATATGTATATATATATGTACATCACACATTGCGATAACGACATAGTTTCACGGCAGCATATGTGTCAACGATGTTACCATGGCAACACCGTATTTGACGGCTTGCCCATTCTTTACTATAGTTTTTCGAAGAAAACGGCGAACACAACGAATTTCAGTGGACATTCCTCTGAACAGAACAACTTCTATTCAAAATATCCATTGAAACCTACGTCATCGCAACAACGTATACAAAGCTAACGCAGCGTTTTGTAATTATAAGAGAATTCAAAGTAATATCTGGATAAATATTATCCTCCAGAGTTACTTCTGCTGACCGCATCCTGTTTTTTTTTCTCGGGAAAAAAGATGTACTTAGCAATCTCGTTTTCTATTAAACCATATTAACGATATTACTGCCCAAGTTTCCATGAAACAATAAATTGATCATTATGCAAATAGTCTTTGTGCCGATAGTCTACTCCAATAACAATCTTTATACTTCACTTTGGCTGAAAGTATTTTGTTACGCGTTTATAGGGCAACTTATAATTGATGATTAGAAATACAAATTGTGTAATCTGCATTCATAGTAGTGTCTTCTGTTATGCCTCATAAAATAAATCCAATCCAAAGCATGATACGTTGATTAGCTTAAGTACTCGCGCTTGTCAAAACTGCTGAGAACAGCCGCTTATCTCAAAAAGAGAAATCCACTTGGCTCGCACTGATCTACGTAGGAAATACCTCAACGGAACGCCAGACTGACAATCCTGACCCGATCAGCGCTGTCACAACGCGTCTTAGTTGCATCATCTACCAGAGGCACCAAATTTTACAAGACAACATTACAGCACACGAATAGAACTATAATCAAAACGACAAAGCAAAATCCATTCACATTCTCACCGTATGTGATTCGCCAGTCGGATGGTTGCAGAAATGACATCATGTGACGACTACGATAGTATGAAGTTTCGTGTTCGCGCTCTTGGATTAACTTATTTTGGTGATAGTAGTTTAAGGCATAATGGGCGTAATGTGATGGGTTCAGTGACGTTTTCATAAGACTCTCTTGCGCTCTACGGTAGCACGCAGATGATGGCTGAGCATAGAGGTGCTCCTGCGACGACGACACAGCTGACGGACAGGAACCGTTTGTTATGGGTCGCACTCGTGGCACCGGAACCGATAGATAACCGCTTCCATGCTGAGGACGTTGAGGATACCACGTCGCTGTGGCCATAGCTGTGCGAGCACCCATTGTTGTTGCTGATGCTTGTGGCTGAGTAGATGGATCGAAACTAGTCGACGGCAGTAAGCAGGAGGCGGTCGGATAGCTACCGCCGCCGCCGAAAGCGTCAGCTCTCTTCGGAAATGAAATGTTGATCCAGCCAATCACCAACAGTCGGTGGGCAAAAACCTCACTGCGTGTCTGCCAGTCACCTGAACAGCATAGCGTATGTTAAGGTTTCACGTTCACTACTACACGGGTGATAGTCTGCCCCATATGAAAGTGCGAAACATGTGCAGAAATATGCACGCATCATCACTGAAGAGGAATACACATACACACATGGAAATCAACAGTGTGGGCACCACACTAGTACGTGTTTTCAGTAAAGTTCGATTGGAAATACGACTTCATAGCAATATATCTGCATACTTATGCGAAATAGTTCTTCAATGTAATAGCAAAGAATTCACGTTTAACACCAATGCACCAGATCCTTTGGAAAAAGTACGTCAGAAAATGTGATAGTCTTCAATCTTTCCACCACTACAAAGACCCAGGGATGGAGAAGAATAAAAACAAAGCGTGGAAAGTGTCCATGGGTGATAATCCGAAGAAAACGATCACATCACGTCGAGCAGAGGCTGTTCCTTCGTGGGCACGAGCTACAGCGGCACCCACCGGTCATAGAGAAGAGGCGGTCTGAACAGCAGGTGTCTGAGTCGCAGCACGGGAGAGGCACGACGAAAACGCCCAGCAACGAATGGTCATCCGGAGAGAGTGCGGACATCGTCTGGCTCGGTGAGAAGCTGGCTGGCTGACAAGTATGGCTGGAGCCTCCGTACGGCACAACTCGTATAACTCTGTCACATCTACACTGTTACACATAGATACCGACTAATGGAGTATATCATTTTTCCGTAATAAAAGAACAGTATTACTATTCGCATTCCTTTTTTCCTAAAATTAATTCACATCCTTTAAGGAAAACTTCCCTTTCTCCCCGTTCTCATTACCTTCTTCTTCAAAATTTACTCAAAATTTCTGTGTGTTCGAGCACCTTACAAACAACACAATTACTTTATTGTTTTAAGATCTCAAATGAAAAACTAGTTGTCCTATGTACATGGTAACGACTACAGTAAGAAGAAAAACTAAAAACATTCTATTATGTTATACTCATCTAAGAATCTCTCTAAAGACGTTAATAATAAACCTTAACCGCAACGTTATGAAGACCAGATTTGTTTTCCGAGTAATTAACTCTTCACAGCAGCCCTCCAGTACAAAATGGTATTTACATTGATGCAAAGAGCAAAAAAGCACTCCTATCATTTTCTCCAGCTCTATTGATACTGTAGTGATAAGCGAACGTCGCCCTGCCAACCGCATTTGACGAAAGCGTTAATGAGATCTGCGCCTACATTTCAGTAAGCCTAGGAAAGGCCCATGTCGTATTAACAGATATTTATGGTTGCAGTTCATTGCATTCCTTGAAATCCATGAACATACTATGTCAAGACTTGAAATTAACGCCCTTTAGAAGTTAATTCAATAAATGAAATCAGCAAACTATACATAAGTAAATCTTCGAAAAAAGCCACGATAACTATCTCTGTACCAACTAGTGATTTTACGTAAATTACATACCTGACACAGCTATCGTTAGTCGTGTGTATAAAGATTATTTTACCACGACATACAAGGTAATATCAGGTAATACTATAGGTAAAACTACGGACGTTGAAAACCGGAAAAGGTGGAATATCTTAACATTCTCTAAACTGAAAACACATTTTTGAACATGAAAACGGCTAACCTGGGAACGGGGTCAATGCACTGCTTGGAGTTCCAACAGCACTTGTGGCAGGTTCCTTCCTTCGTTGTCTCTTAAGTCCATCCGCAAAGGCTACTGCATCTTCTGGTCGACGACCTGTCTCGACACATTCGAGCAACAACAAATGCTTCTCGTAATGCTTTCGAAGTTGGTATCCCGCAGCGGAAGACTGTGAGATCTCAGGATTGGCTTCACTGCAAATCGCTTTCCACGCTTTGTCCTTAGTAACCTAAAGTAACAATGTCATTGGGAAAATCGGATGTCTACAGGTGGCACAAAAAAGAAAAAGAAAAATGAAATCCGTTACAACTCCATTAACTTTACTACAATTGCTCATATGTAGAAAAACACGTAGCATCACTCTTGATATTGAAAACTACTAAGCAGCCTCAATACTGCTGAATTATTTGTAGGAATTGTAGAGTAGTGAACAGAAATGCCTAAGCGTTTCTAATCAGAAAAGAAAACGAATCTCGTTTAAGAAATGAATCAAATAGACTGCCGAAACCGAGGACTGAAAATCCCAACTGATGGGAAACAGCAGCGATGAAGCGTACCTGCTCAAATCCTCCTCGATTTCGAACACCAATATATAAACGATGCAAGTCAACATTTTGCTTCGAAACCTGCAATGTAGCCAAACCACATTTCGTGTCGTGAAAATGGGAATATCTGATGACCATAACATAAGACTACTGCAGATAGACCTCCAAGCGCCACTACATAAGAAATGTCAACATACTCCCATTCACAGAATCAGCAAAACTTTCCGTGATTCCGTACCTACTCCTTGCAAAGACTTCCCTAGGCAGTTTCATCACCTGTATTCTTATTAAAAGCGACAACATTATGGCGTTTTAACAATTTAATAACAATGAAGGATATGAAGTGGAAAATTATTTACAACATCGTCTCATAAAGTTTTTTTGATGAGCTGATTGATGGCTAATGTATTGGACACTTCGCCTTTTCAGAGCCATTTTTGTTGTTAAACAGTGGTGCTACCCGTATGGTCTCAAATATAGCATAACAAAGACAAAGAAATCGCCGAAGTGCTATCTAATGAACATCAAAAATACGTTTCAGCTCATCAAGGAAAGTTCGAAAGATGATATAAATTTACTATTAATATAAAAGCTAATAAAAAAGTCGGTTTTTCGAATTGTCACTTTTTAGTTTATAGAAAATCCTATCAAAAAACATAGACCATCCATAGTGCGAACGCTACTATGAAGATGCATTCTTCAACGAACCATTGTTCTTAGTCGTACATTGCTAACCTGCGGTATCATAGTAATTGGTTCTCCATGCTGTTCACAGAACTGCACAAGACGTTCAAAAAACATGCGCCGTTCCGGCATTACGCGCGGCGGGTTTGCTGCTGTGGGTGGTCCGACCTAGGTATGACTCTACTAGTGATATCGAACACATTATAAACAGTTCTGTCGAAAGCCTAACAGTATGTGAACTCTACAATGATAATCCAAGAAATAAATAATAAACTTACAAGTTTGTCAACAATGCTCTCTTTTCGAGGACCAGGAGGTCCACCTGATTGCATGACAGGTGGCATCATTCCTTGTGGAGGTATCATACCAGGATGCATAATCATTCCAGATGGAGGAGGTGGACCACTCGGATGCGGAGTACGCTAAAATAAGTGATCCTCTTCGTTGCATAAACATTACACAAGCCATAGATAACAAAAAAAAATATTAAAACAAACTCATTAAAAAAACAATAGTTATAACTAACTTGACCCTGATTAGCCCATGAAGGTGACTCTAAGCGTGACTTGTCGTCTACCGACTCGTCCGCTATTGAAGAAGCAGCAGGACTGGGTGCCGGAACACTAGCTGGAGTCGGAGGATTGCCCTCCTATATAAAGGAATCCATATTCCATAAAATCGCAAACCTTGAAATGAGATTACTACCTTATGAACGCGCTGTTGCTGAGCAGCCCATTCTGCAGGCGTTGGTCCTTGGGGCATTCGTACAAGTTCTTGTTGTTGGGGTCTCATCATATGCACGCCGTAGCCAACCGATGGCGCAGTACTGCCAGGATAACCTGGTTGCCCAGCAGGTACACCAGGATAGTTATGTGGATAACATGGAAATCCAGGTGGTCGGCCTTGAAGGAATTGTGGAGGTAAACCACTTGGATAGTGATGTTGAGCTTGATGAGGGATTTGTTGTGCATCTGTAAGTGAATTGCTTTTCAGAGCTATGTTCACTCTCATCTACAGGATTCAGACTGAACATATAGACAACGAACTGACCTGATGCATGTGCTGTCGGCGGAATTGGCGAGCGTGGTTGTTGCCATTCTTGTTGCTGGACGCCGGTGAGTTGAGCATGTTTCGGTGGAATGCCATGGAGCATTGACCCTGCTCCAGCAGCTACAGCAGCCGCAGTGGCCGCGTACCGATCGGCGCCGTAAGCAGCCCCACCGTTTAATAAATTTTGATCCTGCGAAATGAAAACGGACGCAGTGTTGGACATACACTTGTCAAAACACATCATTCCAAGTGTAAAAAAGCTTTAGAAATGACCAATTTTACATTGTCGCTAAGACTTCCAGATCTTTCCTATGCTTACGTGAGCTTTTGAGAAAATGCTATGAAAAGATTAAAATCTTCTCTTGGAACAGAACTACGCAACACCTTCCCGAATTATTAAGTGAAGTCAAGGTTCATAGTGAGAAGTTTGAAAGGAAGAACTATGCAATTTCTAAAGAAAAAAAACGGATCATATAATCTTTCAGAAGTCCAGAAGAGAAATATCTGGCTATCCGAAAAAAGCAGAAAATCGTTCAAATATACATCTCCCACAATACATCAAATATACATGCACTTCACATCATATCCTACCGTGAAAAAAAATAATAATAGGCAGTACATAAAAGGTTGAACATTGTGGTTTCGACTCCCATCTCAGCCTGACTGGGTTCAACGCCGATGATTCAAGTGCCTAGATGGTGTAGCGTGCAACACGCGAGCATCCATAAGGGGTAATAGTGGTTCGATCTGGTCTGGGGTCCAAGTTTTGCAAATATCTCAGCATCTCGTAATAACTCAAAAGACCGACTCTATAAACCTCGGCATAGATAGTGGACATATTTATTTACATGATCTCATAAACTGATCTTCTTTAGCTGATGCGAGGTTGTTATAGATCTTCGTTGTCGTTGTCGTTGTCGTTGTTGTTGTTGTTTTGGTCGATGGCTGACGTTTCGGCGATTTCGCCTTCCTCAGAGCCTGGACGTGTTTTATATTAGAATATTTTAATTATTCGGTGAAAAAAAGGCTAAAGTATTAAAGAAGATCAAACTTTTAAATGGATGATGGGTTAGGATGCTATGGTCAAATGTAGTTCTACGCCATATTGGACATGCTCACCGTGATGTTACGAGTGGGAATGACCCACGCGTTGTTCACGCGGGGTCGCGAGCAAGACACACTCTGGGGTCAAAATATTTTGAAACAGGGCGCCAGGTCACATGTGATAGTGAGGCATTCGTCTTTCCGGTTTCATCTTTGCATTTTTGAAATTTGTCCAAAACACCTCAAGAGTTTAGCGCGTTGATGTTTTCGATTCCTGCGCTAGGATCCGCACAGTCACTTCAAAATCATCGCCGTTGCGCTTTTGTGCCCTATGCGTATTAGCTTTCCCATCTAGATGTTTAAGAGATGGTTAAGAAAAAGTGATCTTGAAAATTATGTAACGATTATTGACCTCCCACCCAATACCCTGCGCTGTCAGTTAGTTCGCAACCGCCTCTATGATCGTCTGTGCAGCTCAAAAAACTGTGTGATCTGTCCTAACGGGAGAAACAGTGAATGCATGAGTTCAGGTATAATATACTTGATCTCATGTAATGCATGCGGCGAGGAATATATCGGGGAAATGGGTAGACCACTTTGTGTCCGCATAAAAGAACGTCTAGATGGAAAAGCTAAAACCCGTTTAAACACCCCTCTAGGTGCGCATAGGGCACAAAAGCACAACGGTAATGGTTTTGAAGTGACTGTGCGGATCCTAGCGCAGGAATCAAAAACATCAACGAGCAAAACTCTTGAAGCGTTTTGGATAAATTTCAAAAATCCAAAGATGAACCGGAAAGACGAATGCCTCACTATCACATGTGAGCTGGCGCCCTGTTTCAAAATATTTTGACCCCAGAGTGTGTCTTGCTCGCGACCCCACGTGAACAACGCGTGGGCCAGTCCCGCACGTAACATCACGGTAACCTTTCTGTTCAATATGGCGTAGAACTACCTTTGACCGTAGCATCTTAACCTACCATCTATCTAAAAGTTTGATCTTCTTTAATACTTTAGCCTTTTTTTCACCGAATAATTAAAATATTCTAATATAAAACACGTCCAGGCTCTGAGGAAGACGAAATCGCCGAAACGTCAGCCATCGACCAAAACAACAACAACAACGACAACGACAACGACAACGACAACGAAGATCTATAACAACCTCGCATCAGCTAAAGAAGTCGAGTTTATAAGACCATATAAATAAATATATCTCAGCATCATTGTGGTTGTATTTCACATAATACCCTGTTGTGAAAAACAATAACAATATGCAGTAGAGAGGAAGCTAAACGTTCAAATATATTTAAGCATAAACACTGCATAAGTTCTTAGCACTATCTAGGACTATGAAAATTGAAGCTGGCATTAACATGGAACTGGATATGAACGACTGCCTCTCTTCCTCTTCTTCTTCCCTCTCTCTCTCCCTCTCTATCTCTCCATACCTCTTGTTCACGCGATGATTTCGTCTTCGGTATTTGCACTAGATGTTCGTTGGTTTGGGAAACCCCCCTCACGGTCCCGCCTCTCTTATGATGTAAAAGCGTGTGCGGCAACGTAAACGTGGGTTGATCTTAGCTCGGCAGCCCGTGAGAACCAACCATATGCGATCTGCATGTGACCAGTTTGGCACTGTGGTTGGTTTCTTTTTTTTTTTTCGCCCCGAATCGTTGAATGCACAAATGGCCATAACCGGACAACCAGCCTGAATAGGGGCCAGCAAACGAACAGCGAACCGACACAGGCGGCGATTCGCTGAAGAAGAAAACGCCACCGACGACCAGCGGCGCGGCGTACGCGACGGACTAGCGAGTCGCGCGGCCGTCATCACAGCTCATAAACAACATCACTGCGACGACACCCGCTCGCCGACGATCGCCACCGACGAGCGGCGACCATCGCAGACGAGTGACGTCATCTCAGGGAATTGTCTTCTCACCTTGCCGCCCGCTGTTTCCCACGCTATCCGTCCGTTCACACACAAACACAATCATCTCTTCGGCTGGTGATTGGTCGCTCGAAAATGGGTGCGGTTCACGTCACGTCATAATAAACAATGTGCACAACATAGCTCATTACTCACTCACTACCAGACCCGGTTCGAGTCACGTGAGGCAGGTCCACTTCGTCTTCTGGAAACTACTATGGAAAATCCAGAAAATACACGATCTTTGTACACCGTATAAAATCTAAACTGCCTATCTCTACTTATGATTCGACTAGATTCATGACACAAACAATAACAACATCACAAAAAACGAACGGCTAGTAAGAAACAGTACACAATTACGAAGGCCGTGAAATTTCATTCGCTGGTCTTCTAAGAGTCTGCTCGTTCATACAAACACACACACACACACACACACAAAACACACATCACGCAAATGTGTTCAGTGTAAAGAGGAAATGTCACTCACACAAATGCCCTCAGTGCTCTATTAGTTACGTGACCTCATTACGAAGTGTGGTCGCGTTTCATCGTTTGGTTTTTCTTTCCCACGCTCGATTTTCACCACGTTACTTTCGCACTCTTGTTTTGTTCGTCTCAACGTTCGCATTTCGCACGTCATTCATAAACCGCCGATGTTGTTTCTCGTGTCGAGCGTGTGTAGCCTGGACAAGGACCCGATACATATATATGTTCATCATCAGATTCCATTTCACTTATTCGGTCCCCAGTCTGCGCCCTCTGTTCTTCTCACAGTACATCCCGTCGTCGACGTAGACTCCCGCCACCCCGCGCCCCATTCTTCCATCCTACCCCCATTCAATCGCAGCACACACACCGCCGGCGACGACGCCAGACGGGCAGACCGACGTCGAGAGAGCGCGCACGAGACATACCGTATGCGGCGTCGCAAACACGTCAGAGACGCCGAGATGAGTTATTTGCATTCGCTGGCGCGCCTGTCCGTCCCTCCGTGCCGGCTCCCATCGATCGCCTCCGCTCCGCCACAGATCCCGGTCCGTCTGCGACCTCCGGCGCTGCCGTGCTGTCGCTCGCCGCGAACGCCTGCTGCCTCCCGACTTCACACGCACACCCCGCCGTCCGTGCCCGCCACTCGTCGCGGATGCGCTGACGACGGCGACGACGACTACGGCTGCGAGGATAAATGTGCGCCTACAGGACGCCCACTGATGCCTCGGATATTCGTCGTCGCTACATAGAGCACACCACAAATCACGGCGTCATCATCACCACCACCGTTTCCCGAACGTATTCCATTCAACTTACTGATTTAAGTGCGTAGCACAACTAAAAGCAGCGCTCGCAAAAAAATCTCGGATGAGTTCCGACACGAACACGCGTGATCGACTATTCCATAACGATTTCGAGTGATTTCGCTCGTGTACACTTGGATGAAGGATGGAGAAAAAACCTGCACTTTTGTGCGCGCACGCCTCCGACGACGTACGGGCTTCTGTGCCAATTCTATGGCCGTCCGCTCGACTGGAACTATCGCGGTGGCTGGCCGACCGCCTCGAAACGAAACGCTCGCTAGCTGGCTGACAGTTTCAACGTTCACATATGTATAAGAGAGAGAACTAACGTGAAAGAAAAAGAAAATGACAGAGATCCTACTGGACTAGAGGTCTATCAAGATGACAAGTGGCTGATATGTGAACGAGCAGAAATGACTACTGAGAGCTACTCACTATAGCTGATTAACGTAAACGGTAACGCACTTTCATGGTTGCAGTAACGATAGCATCAACCAGCACAATTTACGGTAATTCACTGTAACGCTGTTGAAAACGAAGTACTGCGAAGTGAATTCAATTGTACTCTGCGAAATGTAATGATTAATATCAAACTACTACGTAGGTGATGAACAGAGCTATGAAATACATGTGACTTTCGAAAGCGAACTAGCAATGATTGAGAGTTTATGCTTGAAAACAACAAGGAAGGCACTAGAGTGTGGTATGTGAGATATCGCTGGAACCTTCTAAACGACCGGATGGGATTCCCCGGTGCGCAATTTAATCACGTCATTTCACTAGGCGACAAAGTAAGAGAGACACGAGAGACAATGAGACATGACGGACTGATGGACGACGAAATGAGGACCACACCAGATACACACATACACACATATCTACACACACAGATACACAATCGCCATGTCTTGTGCGATCCACTCAGCAGCATTCCGCTATCGTATACACCAACAATCGGTCAGCCAACGCCTGAATGACTGACTGACTGCCTTCGAAATGGCAATCAACGATGAGTTGTCGGCGACTTGATTACGTCATTCGCAACCACCTTGTCTCTCCGCCTCCATTGCGAGTAATTTTTTCTTTGCTAATTTTAGTGTTGCGAACTATCGAATTCACATTTCGTTCCGACACAGCAATTAGTAGCGATGAGAAGTAACTATGGAAGCAATGAAGTCAGTAGTAGTTCTGATCTTCGGTCCAAGTAAACGATTTGAGTTCACTAGTAGGGAATTTTTCTTACGTCATTACTCGTCTTACACTCTGTTCATATCCTGACGTAGATGGCAGCAATTGACATAAGTGACGTTAAAACTGCGCTTAATGTAGTGAGCGAGACGACGACGTCACCACTACCACCACCTAGGGCCAAATCAAATAATCACTGACGTTATCTCAGTACGTATGAACAAATAGTCATAGAAATCCTAGAACCTTCCGCCATGAAAAGCCTGGACGGTCATCATTCCAGCATTTGGCAAATCTCCCAGCTCTGTGCAAACGTACGAACATACGTAGAACACTGGATACACAAGAAAGAGAAGCAAGGTATCTTCGAATGCACAACAAAACAAAGCTGTCAATCAACTACCCGTTGAATATAATCCAAGCCTTGCTAAACTTACTACTCGTGAGCTGTTAAAATTCCATGTATTACAGGGCCTCCCTTCTGTGTATAACATGGTCAGCTCTACTACATTGTTAAACTCCTCCTTTACTGAACCATCACTACGTTAGTTATTAAATATGCCTTATATCTACTGAAGTGATGTCGAGACAGTCGCATGCAAATAATGAATAAATTCCATGCACGAAATACTGCTCATTATAAACTTGTATTGTATCTCCATCATACTAACTTGGATACTTGAATAGCCCATCTTAAATGGTTGTTCGGACCCCCAACATAATTTCCGTTTCCTGGAGTCTCGAGGTCAGCCCGGCCTACGCATTCCTCTGATCGTCACTAGTCCAGGCAGTCGCCTCTGCAGAAGAGGGAGATCTGCCACCATGCGACTAGTTTGATTCCAGAACGGTGGTGATTCCAGGTGTTGGTTTACTCTTAGCTGCGCTCCCGGATGAAAACGCCGGGTTCGCTCAGCTCAGTAGGCCCTGCTGGATGGGTGAATCCCCGCTGTATATTGCAGCCTAACACCCAGAAACACCTACCAGCCACAAGGAGGCGGTAAACTGTTGGGAGGCTCCTCCATTATATAAGCTTCCTCACATTATGTTGCTTATCCTCTTACAAATATTCTAGTCGTAAAACAGGGTACTTCCTTAACGTTATATCAACTGAATAGTCGTAATAGTGGTAGTAGTTGCTGGAGTAGTAGCGGTAGCAGTAGTAATAACAGTAATAGCAGTGGTGGTAATATTAGTGGAAGTGGTAGTACTAGCAGTAGTAGTAGTAGTAGTAGTAGTAGTAGTAGTAGTAGTAGTAGTAGTAGTAGTAGTAGTAGCAGTAGTAGTACTAGTAGTAGTAGTAGTATTAGTAGTAGTAGTAGTGGGAGCATACGCACTAAGAACACGTAGTACTCACAGTCCACTCATTGGTTTTTAAAGTTCGAAATCGAGCCTTAACGTTCTGAGTGCTAAATGGACATCTAGACATCATTCACAAACGATGTGTAAACACCCACTAAAGACTGATCAAAAAACACTCCATGTGAACGAATCACTACCGCAGCCGACGAGGAAAAAATTTGGAAAATCGCACGGACAATTCGTTGTGGAGAACATGTGCACAAACATTTATGTGTCACTTGATGTTTGAATGATATGAGTAGTATCTGATTAGTAAGTAAACAGCTGTATGTCACAAAAAACAACTGAAGTAGGAGAACACAACAAATAACTCCGCATAGGCACGCGTCATTATAAAGACGAATGCAAACAAACATTTGATGTTGATTGGCGAGACTCGTCCGTTCATCCGACATCAGCAGTCACAACGGCAACAACAACAACAACAACAAAGGACTCCACACACACACACACACCTTACTACTGACCATCATCACCATCATCATCACTGCTTACACATACGGCAGCCGATGCTGTTCTCTTTACATTCTCACCGTTGACCGAAAACACCAACAAAAACAACAACAGCAACGACAACAACGAAACAAAGAACATTTTTGTGCTCAACTATCAGAAAACAATGGAAAAGTTTTATCTACTGCCTACTGCTTTTAATGGCATGATATGATATGAAATACAACCACTATGATGCTGAGATATTTGCAAAACCCAGACCCCATGCGAGATTCGAACCTGCGGCTATTCTTTCCAGGAGCTCACGTGTAACCCACTGCATCATTAAGGCGTTTGATCATCAACAAACATTAACGTATAAAGGTGCTTTTTCTATATTACACATTAAAACTACGCTACAATTTATCCAATACTAATTAGGCAATCGTCTACTTCCAACCGATTCTGCTACATAGGGACTACTCGTAGATCAGATGATGTGGAAATAATGAGCAGGACGCGAAATTGTGAAGAAAGAAAGAAAGTGGAGTGAAAATAACTCGTCGAAGGTTCGTTCGATACAAAGCTCGCTTTTCCTTGTTAGAACTTTGTATGTTGTCACTCCAACACCATGACACATAGTATGTCGCTTTTTGTTCACGATTTTCAACAGTTTACGCATAAACTGTCCGTTCGTCGACTTCTAATAAAATTACGCCCTTCACATTTCAACAGTCATTTAAAGAATTCATAAAGTCCTGGTGTGAACAACAGTGAGAGAACGAACTGAAAGCAGAATCTGAGCAGTTCGATGTGAAAATATGGCTAACGCTGCACAATCATAGAGCCGCTATTCACGTGAACACCTTTAGCCGGTGGTGACATACGAGCACGGAAATTTCTCGAAAGTCCAGAAAAATAATAAGAGGAAGATAACTGTAATGCTAGCCTTTCCTAATTATTGTAAGACTTTTTCCTTTCGAATTCCAACTTCATTTCTAACAGACACGTACCTGTTGAAAACCCGCATCTCCTCCCGCTGAAGGCTTATTACTGAGCAAATTGTTCAGCGTTGGTGTCGGAAAATTCTTAACGAGAATTCCTTGATGAACAGTACTAGTTAATATGATATTTCCATAATACTCTTTCTGATAGTGTCGTTTATAAAAATCGTGATGGAGGAAGTTATAACGATACCTGTCCAGATGTGTCTGGGGGCGGTGGTCCATCTCCAGTGGACATGTCTATACTTATTCAATAACACGAAATAAACTTGGATACGAGAGCATACAAAACCACTACTCTGAAATTGACAAAGGGATGCTTTAAGGAAGGAGAAGAACCGTAGAGAGAACTACAGAGGAGAGTTACGATCGAAATAAATATGTCCACAACAAAATTAAACAACCGCTAGCGAATGTTGAGAGGACAGAAAAACAACGGCCACTCCGACAGTAATGTTACCGGTGTTTTTGAATAACAATAAGCTCAAACCAAGCAATGAAAAAGTAATCATTTGGAAATTACATGGGAGAAGAGGAAAATTAGATTACAACCAACCACTAATCGAAAGAAGTTGGTTTACAGAGAGCAAATCGTTCACCCACGAAAGCTCCAGACATAACTGAATACTGGCGAAGTAGAGCACAAACATTTGTAAGCACTATCTCATATTCAAATCTAAATGCATCATACTAGGTGGTGGGAGTCCGCCTTACCTAATAAAAAGGTTTCGATAAGCAAAAGACGTAGACCACCGTAATGACAGAACTAGGCTAACGGCCAAGCCGAACTTGCATGTTCAGGAAGATGGCTGCGCAAAAGTGAATCTAGGATTTTCGGTGAGACTAAGGAGATATAAAATATATCTCATGGAAGAAAAAAAACAGAAGATTTGTGTGCGTGTGTGTATTTGTGTGTGTGTCTGTGTGTGTGTGTGTGTCAAATTACCCATACAAGAATTAGCATGACGTAACCAATCAAGCACTAGTTTCAGTTGAGGGTTAGAACCTTTCCATTTCAAGCAACATCGCAGATGAAAAATGGCAAATAAGTTTACGAATAAAACTGTAACTAAATACAGAGATCATAAGCGCTCCTGGCGCCTACCACGGTGCTCCAGTTACGGGTAGGTGTTCTCAAAACGTCGGACAAGAGCTCTTTTAGAAATATGGGTCGTTCGGCAACGAAGCATGAAACATACCTAAGCACCTCAGAAAGCCTTTTTTTTCCTTCTCGGTTTTTGTTGTGCTCTGTGAACAGAGTATGTGGTCAGTAATTAGTGAGTCAAGGAAGCGACGAATATTGCAATGGCGATGAAGCGTGAGAAAAGCGAGAGAGAAGAAAGCGCGGGAGCCGTTTTTCTGTTCGAATAATCGGGCGCTTGCGATGTGTGTCTATATGTGTGTCTGATGGCCAGCTCGTGTTTATAAGTGTATGAATAGCCACAGTCCGAACGGACGACGCCGGTCACGACGACAACGACGACGACGACGGCCGCGACGACGGCGGCGACGGCTGCCAAAGCGAGCCGGCGAGTGAGCCACGAAAGCGACACGACGACACGGCGTCTCCGGAGAAGATCAGATGAACGCGAACAGGACTGAAGCGATTCGTCGTGGTGGGTACGATGGAAAGATGGTACAGGAGGCCTAGAGAGAGAGCACGGTGGTTCGCTGCTAGCCCGGCCACAGTGGGGGCGCGCTGTCGCTTGGCCCCACCCACATATCGATCGCTGCGCTAGCCCAGGCCAAATCGGCTGTGCAGGTCGTCGACGGCCCACCGGCAGGACCTGTACTGCTGCCGGTGACCGCGACGACGTTCTTGGCTCGACGACTTCGAGCAGTTTAGACGTCTCATTGCGACCGCGTTTCCGGCGCTGGTCACTATCTTCAATAACAGATTTGTAGTTTGCTCGCATCTCATTATTGCCGCCGCCATGTGCGCACGCACACGCGACGCGCAGCACAGTGCTTAAAGGCGGTGTGCGCGCTCGGCGTCGACGCAGACTCCTGCCGCGGCCATCCGCGCGTCACACAAACAACGACACTCGACGGTCTCCGATCGCTGCCTCACGGCCTGCATCTCTTGCCGACAGCACGCGCGTCGCCACTGTCCTTGTGAAATTATCGTTGCGCACTCCGCGTATGCCTGCTCTCTGGGGCCCGTATAGCCAAGAAAAGTGTAGCAATTTATTCCGAGTCACGATTAACGCACTGTCTGCGTCTCGGTTGCATCACCCGTGCCCGTCGTCGTCGTGCTCTCGTCGTATCGGCGGCCGCGCCGCCGCACCTCCGACGTCGCCTTTGTGTGTGCCATAGCAGCCATTCGTCAGTGGGCGTCGAATAGACCCGATCGTAGTTACTTTTGTATTTCGATGGTTTTGCATCTATTTCAGACGTCGTGAGTGCCTGAAGGCGTGTGGTGGTCGTAGGCGCACACACATGGCGCAGTTCCTTGCTGATTTGCCTTGCTCAAATCCGGAGCACTTTGCCCAGCTACCTGAGAAGGAGTTGAAGGTATGCTGAACACTGCGATTATACTGTTCTAGGTCGGCATTGTGGTTATTAGTGATGTAATGAGGTGTGTACGGAGTAGAAAAAACCCATCATATGTCTTGAACATGAGAAGAACAGATTTTACTTCAGAGAATTTACTAATGCGCACAAATGTGAGTTGAAATAGTTAAAAGTTCACGGTCTTGAGTAAGCTAGGAAAGATGCGTGGGCATGTGCATGATTTAGTTGCAAATTTGTTGAGACGATACAGAATTGCCCTTTCTGGTAGGTTATTAGAGTAATCCATAGAAAATATCTTTGATTCTCGCCTGGGGAACTGATTGCTATGTCTGAAGTGGTAGATGATGAAGCTGAGCCCTTTTACGCCCACAGTACTACTATCTCAATCACTTGTAAACAACCAATTTCTTAATGTATTGCGAAATAAATGTGATGTATGTGTGTTAGGGAAAGTGGAAGAACATATGTTTAACGAAAGTAGTTTTTATAGCCTAAAAATATTCAGGGTTCACCACAAAAATGTCTGTTTTCAAAATCGGGCGTCTAGTGGTGGTGACTGTGCGCTGTTGTTTTAAAATTTTGTTTACAAACCTAACGATAAGAGCTTAACACTTTGCTGTCGAAATGAGTTTCACAAGAGACACTGTACTTAGTTGTTTCTTCACTGTTTGTCTGTCTATAGTTTGTAAATCAAATAAGAGCATTTCTCAAAAAAAGAAGAGCAAAACAAAGCGAACAGGAATACACATCGAAATTCTAACGTAGACAGAGTTTATGGATGACCACAACTGGGTTCAACTTACCTATTTTTCTTTCGAATCCTGTACTTCTCAGGATTTACCGTGCCTGGTAAACCCCATGTGAATGCCAGTGGGTATGCTATGTCGGTATACACAGTATGTAGTGTATGTCTAACCTTATTTTGACGATTTTTCACACTAACGTGAGTACGTTTCAATCCTTATTATTGATTTAGTCTTTTAGTTATATCACGTATTCAGTTTAATGTATAGAAACGCCATTTTGCTTAAGAGGGTTTAAAACGGTTAGTGCATAGAAATGGTGATACTAGCGATGATGGTTCTGGTAACGGTAACCTATCCATCTTTAGAACAAGTGTTTCATGTTTTTAATCAACATTTGGTATTGTTTAGGCCCTTGAAAGCTCGAAGGTCCCGAAAATCGCCTATCATGTGCCTCGTCGTGACAATGAGAGGATAATTACTAGCGACAAGAAACCTTATATTCTTCGCTTTCTCGAAAAACAATGGGCTATTAGAGTAAGTAAAGGAATGACTGCAGTGGACGTACCTGGATGTTAACGGTGTTTCTAGGGTAGTTTACTTGTCAGTGGTGTAAGTTGTTGTGCCCTATTAGGGCATAGAGAGAATAGGTGGAATTTTATCGTTTATTCATATTTGGATTACATCTGTAAAAATTAAGGTCGTTCCTTCAATTGTGTTATCCAGCCGTTGCTGTAGTGATTGCTTTTTTACTAGCTAGATGACATTACCTTACATACGCTAGAAATACATTATTTAGACAAAGGAAGAAAAAGAAACTCGTGACGACACCCCTATGACAAGAAAGAAGAGGAAGTCAGAAGTGGTTAAGAAACGAACTTGTGGTGATGTCCCGTCGTCTTCTGCAGGTCCAAAGACGAGAAGGCTGTGCTGAAAATCTGTAAACATCAAGCTCTTACGGGTACGAAAATGTTGATTTTGCGGGCTAGACGAATCGCTGTAAAGGTAATCCACTTTCCCCGAACCTTCCTCTGTCATCAGCCAGCACTACTGTTTCGTAATAAATGATACCCTCTACATTTTAGAAAAAAAAATGCCTAGGTTTTACTTAGTTCATAAGGCGGATGTTGGTCTCGACGTTGGGCCAATCGATTACTTGTTTTTAAATAACTAAATTACCTGAAAGAGGTATCGATATCCTTTGAGGAATATATGTTCTATAAAACATGTATATGCAATATGTATATAATATGACTAGCAATGTTGCAATGTTGTGATGTTAATTGTCCATATCTGAATAATCAGGCTGTACAAGTAATCCTTCAGTTATGGGTTAGTTCTATTTTTACTACTGGTGTATCATTCACAAATGAGAATAACTGGTAGACCGTTTAGAAAGAATTATGTTAGGTATTTATCAAAGTGTCTATTTTTTTAGATTGAGTTTCCTAATTAAAAGTAACATGAGAGTTCTTCAATTAGATTCTGCTTCCCCCATTGGTAGGTTAGGATTTGAAACATCCGCAAGTGGTTATATTCATTTGTTCGCTATATTTACGGTACTTTTGAGTCCGGTAGTTTTCTTCTAAAGCTTATGCTAATTAACATTTGAAAGCGCGAGCGGTCGGGATTAAGAATTAAAAAGATGACATCGTAGCAATGTTTGTTACTACTTTAGAACGCTTAACAAGTCTCTTTACAGCGAAAGGTGAGGGAATGGTGGTCGTGTGCTCACAAACAATTCGTTTTCTTTAACTGTTCATTTCTGTTTGTTGGAACACCGATTTACGGGTGTAGTGTTACTACTCTGTACTACGAGTCTTGTTCCAGTTATACCTGTTATTTCATATCTCACGTTTTGAGGCATTGTTTTGTCGGATTATTATGCGGTATTGCATCAGATCTTATGGTTTGTGTACGATTCCAAGGCCTTTTCACTATGTTTCAAACTTCTTAGTTCTTGCTATTTATTCTGAATATTGCCACTCCTTTTGAAGAAGTGTTGATTCAGAATACGATTTTTGAAGCGTGGAAATAAAGATAAATAGTCGTTATCGATATCACTACTGATTGATGTTAGCATGAGTTTTCCATTCGACACTTTATTTCCCTTGAGACAACTTTTTTGAGTACATCTTCTTACAAATAGGAAACTTTCTTGGACATATCAATTGTACCACGATTATTCCTATTAACTAATGAGTGATTCAATAGGCAATACCAAGGTCTTCTTTCGTCAGTCTCCCTAATAAGAGCTGCTCAGTTGGTTCTGATTGCTCGGCGTATACGAAGATAATAACACTCTTAGTGTAGAACACCTTACTTTGAGCGGTGTTTTTTTTTCGAAGTAATATTCAGGCATCACTGTGGCATCAATTCATATTGAAATGGATTTCTGGATTAAAATCTGTAGACGAACATCATGTACCATCATTATCATTCTGTTATGTTGGTGAACTTTCTGATTACTGTGGTTTCATACGAACGAACACCTGATGCTCTGATGAGACTATTGATAGTACTGAACATACATATTTGATACGTCTTTAACATAATCAATTACCAAGTAGAGGTAAACAGCCATCACCCATAGATCGTTCATACGGTGCAGGACTACCTAATTTTCCGCTCTATTGAAACGTACAGGAAGTAGTGCAAAGTAGCAGCAGGTGATAGTTAGTCACAAGTATGTGACTTCCATTCGAGCTTTCACATCACTTTGGTACGCAGCATTCGTGGAACTGTTTGCATTTTTTTGAACCAGCTTTCTCTTAACCTCGACATTGAACGGCCGTCCTAGATTGTTCGACTTGTACGAGTTTCTCATGATTTTTTTTAATCAATAAAGCCGCAAGAATGAACGGCTGTGTACAACCAGCTTGAAGCACTACAGCTCTGAAAAAGGAGGAGGTGCCGAAACATTAGCTGAATAAAAATTCCATAACAACTTCGTGTAACCTCAACGACCCAAAAAGATTCCGATTACTCTTCTGCATACTTCAAGCTAATAATGTCAATCCTATGAATGCAGAGAATTTGGTGTTCTTTCTAGTTTGTGCTTGGAGACGTCGAGGAGTCGTGGCGTCAAACCACTAGTAGATGCTTTCGATATGGAAAAAAGAGCATGCCGGTAACTGTCCGAATAATTCGAGAAGGAATTAAGGAAGTAAGAACTTTATAGAGGTAGAAGTAGAGATATTACTGGGACGGGATTGAGATTATACCTTTAAAATGACTGATCATTACGCACTCCAACGGAAACGTGAATACACCTCTGGCATGGTTGAGGGGAAAGTGCCAGCTGGCAATTCTTTGTTCGGGGACATGATTCTGCTACGATAAAGTTGTTCTGAAAATGGAGCATAAATTGCCCTAAGAAAATGCTCAAAGAGGACCAACTTCTGATAAGTGTCGTCAAGTCATGCAGTGGTGTATCAGTTTGTCGTCGAATTTTTCTTATGCTCATTAGGTTTTATGGCTTTTCGACTCGAAGATCTAATTGTAAGCTCATCTAAAGGCGCATCACCTAGTTTTCAATCTAATTTGAGAGTATTGCTTACTTGTAAGCGAAGCGAACTCGTGCTGTACTTAATTTTCGGAGAAATATCTATTTGGAAAAGAACACTTTTCTAATTGAATATGTATGGTCCTCGTTTAGTTATTTAACTGGAGAAAATGTCTCTATTTAAGCAAACCATATAAAAATAAAATGGAGCCCTGAGAAGTCTCAAACAGACTTCCTAGTAGATTCACATTCAGAATAAGGAGTTTATATTGGGTTTTCTCTACGCTAACTTCTAGCATCACTAGAAAAAGTTGGTTTTCCACAGCATTTTCTAAGAATGAGCGAGCGATCCAAATACAAAATCCGACACTAGTTGCTTGTGGAGTCGGCGTCCATGGAAATGAGAGATGACGGAACAGTTCTATGCTTTGGCTTGACTTCGTTTGACCGGTGTAGTTTATCGCCGTTTGTGGACTCAGTGGTTAAACATTTAAATCATTTGTAATCCCGTTAATCGTCAACTAACTCCAGCAGTAAAGATCACTATGGTCTGCCCATTCATCCCCGTCAAGCATCAGAACTGCTAGGTGGGTGCCACTCGCTCAAGGCACTGCCGACGCGCATCATTTTGGTATGGTATTCTTTATTTCCGCTTTTTTGGGCGTTCCTTCCGACGGTTTCCCGCCTCATCGTGGCTAAGAGGTGTTCTTGGGTGTCTGGTTGTGACGTACAGCGGGAAGATTCATCTCCCCAGCAGGGCCTTTCAAGCTGGGAAGAAATCCGAGGTTTCTATCCGCAAGCCTAGTTGAGAGTAAACGAATATCATGAATCACCACCTCCTTAGTATCAAACCAGTCGCATGGTAACAAATCCCCCTCTAATTCATAAGAGCGGCAACTGCCTGGGGTGGTGATGACCTGAGGAAGACTTCACCTAGACTAATCTCAAGACTATAGAATCCTAACAGCTAAACCAACAAATATCCGGAATCGAAACTACACTGGAGCCCGAACAACCAGTGATGATGGGCCATTCAAGTATCCAAGCTTCAGGCGATGCTCTTCACGGAAAGTTCATCAGTGTCTAGGAAGGCATAAATTTACTCATTGCTGCTAATGCAGGTGGAAATATCAGACATATCTTGGTTGTCTTTGCGGAAGAGTAAACTCCCTCGCGTAGCTTAACAACCATGAACATCACCTAGTCCCCATGAACCGTGAGAAGGACAAGTTGATAGTTGTAGAGAAAAACAGAAGGTTCAATCTTTAGGATACCTCTGTATAACTTAAAATGGTAAAGAGGAAATCAACTGGAATAAAAATGACGTTAGATTTACACAATTTTTCCTTATTCGTACATGGAATAGGCGCTTGTAGCGCACTGTCTAGAGTTGCCCTGCAATGCACATTTGACCGTTGGTCCGCTCCGTCTTGCGCTATCCAATTGTTTCATTCCTCTGGGATTGGCATATTAGTACCAAACTTTTTTAGGAGGCCGAAAACACTGACTTAATTCCTCAATAGTTCCGCACAATTCATTGTATAGGTTAAGTACACAATCAATCACCTCTGTGGTTCTCAATAGAGTCGAACGCATAGCGCATCCTTAAGTCATTGATCACCGCTTAGCTGCTATGCAACATGTCGTTTCGGGCTACTTTGAGGTTCTTTTTTCTAGTTTGATGTCTTTTTTGACTTCATGCTAATGAGACTGTGTACTTTATCGTTTTGGTAAGCTAACAAGAGCGTGCCTAACAGGGAGATACCACATGCACCGTGCACACGCAGAGGCTTTTCAGCATAGTGGGGAATTATGATGAAATCTAGGTGATTGAATGCATAGCTGGTCTGCATAATGACTTGCGGTGGCTTATTAATGTATCAAGTCAATATTTTTTTATTCTTTAAGACAAATCTGGGATCATTTTCCCGACCCCGGAATGATGGAACGCTTGGTGAGCCGGGGCCGCAAAGTCAAACCAGCGATTGATCCGGTGCGTATTTCAGGGCGCCTCAAACCGCTGTGCTATGCTGCACCCTGATTTATACACAGATATTGAACAGTTCTTATCATAAACTACATCAGAAGCACTTTTCCGTTTGGCCTACGCGTGATTTATCTTTAATTGTATACTACGTAAACTTCTGAAGCGTGATTGGGTTAAGTGACAATTTCTGTCCTTAACTGTCTGTTTGGGTTCTCTTTTTTGACAGCACTGCATTTAGTCCACATAGCTGAGAATGGCTGATGAAATGTTTTCAAGCTTGTCTGAAATGCTGACTAACTATCACACTCTTCATCGAATATGTTCGCTACTGCATGCTTGTTAGGGCGCTTCCGAATTGTTTTTATAACAGTGTGCTCATTAGTGTTTTAGTTTTCTACTTATTCTTATCTATTCGTACATCGAACATTAGGAAAACCTATAGACTCTCCGATACTGTAGGCTGCATTTAGTTGAAGTTAAGTGCTTCGAAATAGTACGGTATCGTCTGTAGCCATTTCAGAGCTGTGACAAATTCATTTCTTAATAGTAAAATGATGTTAGCTAGTTGTATGGCTATGATAGTGTATTTAGATGAATTGTATTCGACAGTATGTATACGCGGCCTCTTGAGATTTCTCTCTTACACACTTCCCAAATACACTGCTGGCAGATTCGTAACGTTCCCATGGATGTATATTTTCTTGTTTCTTTTTTTTTCGAGGTTGAGGCTTAAACGGTTTCTCATAGACTATTGTTTGAAAATATGGAGTTGGTAATTCACTGTGCTCTTGATGAGAAAACACTTGCTTTATTCTTTATTTATAAACAAGCTGACGTTCCGGCGGACTTCGCCTTCCTCAGAGCAGGGAAAGGTCAAGTTGATTGCAATCCTACCCAGTCGAACACCTCCATAACCAAACAGAGAAAACACTTAACCAAGATTTCAAACACGTTGAGCACAAAGTAGCTTCTTCGCAAACTCACCGCTTTCTATGAGTGTTCCACTGAGTATATCAGGTGGAGACAAATCGCACAGAGTTCACATAGAAGCGTAATGTGCCTTTTATATTAAAATGGATTAAAAAAATAAAAATTAAATACAAATATAATAAAATATTAAAATAAATAGAGATTTATAGAAAGCTGGTTATGGGAATTATTACAAAGCGTGCCAGTAAGGATATGGTTTCCCAAGTTCTGGAAAAAAGAACTGCTTGACTAGATCAGCGTAGATGGACGAACGACGAATTTTGGAGAACAACATTTCTCTCTATGGTGCAGCGTTGTTCACCGTTATTTCTCAAATTCGTAAGTTTGATTCTGAAAACATTTTGGGGGTTAGCGATGGAATTGTGGTAAGAGAATTTTACTTGCGCTGATACTAATCCTAGTCGCTGTGGAATAGCCACTGCTCTTACATGCGTTTCTGTTACAGCAACGTAACGAAGCTATCGTAATTTTCCGAGGAAAATCCATATGATTGAAATCTTATCTCAGGCTTAGGTGACGATATATTTGGAATTCAGAGATTAGAATAGGTCCTATTGACATTCAGGACAGGAAAGTGCACGTCCTATCATCAATATGGTGAGCAACTCTGATAGAATTTGTCTGAGTAAAGTCTTTATTCCGGTGTTTCACGTTGTGTTAACAACCTTTGAACATACAACCGGTATACGAAAGCGTGAAGATCTGGATGGGATTATTTACTAATGAATGTCTGCCTTGTTATAACACTTGGGTGAAGGATGAGCTATGGAGATGTCTCAACAATGCTCGAGAACATTTCTGGAGAACTACAAGCGGGGGCGTATAACCACGAACTCTTCCTACAGTAGTCCTTCAGAGGCAGGCCAATTCCATGTTCATCTATAATTAACTATTGCTCATTCTTCGCCATAATTAATGCCAAGTTTTTCATAGAACTTACAGTGCCTGAATATTTCATAACACTTCCATACACTAAATTATTCGCTCGGCGTAATTATCTAGTAGCTTCTTTCGATTCCTCTAAAAGAACTTCCAATGTTGAAATTCCCTCTTCGTTCCTTCGCATAAAGTCTAGTGATCTAAAGAAATAAAAAAAGTATCATATTAGAATTATTTGGGATTAGTGCGACATACTCGGCATACATTCTTGGATTATTATCAGTTAACGCTTCGACGTATTCGTCTTCTTCAGAGCCGAAGTGATCCGAATCGATGATCCACAGCTGGTCGTTGTCACAGTGTGGTTGTTCGTTATCGCATTGAGTCAAATCCAGTGGAGGTGTACCGGTAGAAGGGAGAAAATTATTCTCGACGTGGTTGAAGTTTAAGCATAAGTCTCACCAGAAGAGCGATGGAGAATCAATGAATTATGATGAGTGAGAAGGTCGAGCTTGTTGAGCACGTATTTGATTTCTTCGAGAACGCTGACAAGGTCCTTATTCAATTATTTTTGATGCAGTGTTTTCCAGTCGCTTATAGCGTCCAGAGGTCGTATTAGGTTCATATGGTACATATACATATGGTATATATGGTATGATAAATGGTGTCGAGCTTCTTGACTATCAGCCTTGTTTCGCTGGTAGGTATTTCTCGAAGTGATGATAACATTGTCGACGAAAAGATGGTAGAAGTTATCCATGAATACTGTGTGCTCGTTCCGTTCTAATCGAGCAACTTCATTATCCATGTAGTGCGATTGTACATAGTCTCGGTGTGAAGGTGTCGTTCAATATGATCCCTTCTCTTATAAGATAGGAAACGAGCGAATTATTACTTACTTGATACTTGAACGGCCCATCATCAATAGTTGTGCGGTCCCCAGCATAATCACCATTGTTCGGAGATTTGCTGGTTAAGCCATTGTGGTTCTATGGAATCCCGAGTACACCCTGGCCAAAGTCTGCCCCAGGTCGTCATCACGACAGTCAGTCTCAGCTCTTGTGGATCAAAAGGAGATTTACCACCATGCGACTTTGATACAAAGACGGTGGTGGATCCTGGTATTGGTTTACTCTTAGCTAGGCTTCCTAATGGAAACGCCGGACTCTTTCTCAGCTTGGGAGACCCGACGAATCCTCCGCTGTACATCGCAGTCCGACACCCAGGAACACCTCCCAGCCACGATAATGCGGCAAACCATTGGGAGGAACGAGCGAATTGGGAATGTGGAAGCATCATCTTGCGAAACAGTTGTGCGAGCCATCGGCTGCAGTTCTTGTACTGAATGGGTCCAGTCCTTTGTTCACGAGAGCTGGCAGGATTCCCACTTCGGCGAACTTTCACGCGTAACGGAAGTTAGGGGAAAGCTGGAAATCCGAGCAGTTCTCTACTACATCTGAAATTTCTGAAATTTCGGATACAAGTCGATAACAGAGTCTACTTCTACTTCTGCTTTGTGAACTATTAGCGTTTTGTCAAAAGTCATTGGCGCATCGGAAAATTGTCGTGATAACCCCATAAAGCACATTGAACAATGAATAGGGCATGAAAGCTGTGTGCGATATCCCCTACTGATCTAGGACGTTTTCCTTTTAAAGACATATTACCTTATGGATAGTAAAAAATGTGCAGTCCTTGCCGTCTAAAAGCTGGTGATGACGTTGTATGGTCTTTGAACTGTGCCTCCATGCTCTTCACTTCAATTCAGTCTTGGGAAGAAAAGAATCCTGGCCGGTTTTCTTCATCTGGGATTTTTTGTTCTATGACGGATACAATGTGAAATGGAAAAAAAATAGAGTAGAGTTTTCCATTAACAATCCCATATTATGGTGGGAGTGGTGATACTATTTCCTCTATTCATGAAGACCCATAGAGAAATAATATATTCACAAAAATCCCAATAGTACTGTTCTAGACTGCTTCATTTGTGAACCACCTCCGCAACTCTCCTTTCGTATTTTTTTGCATGCAGTCTCTAGGGCATGAAGCTGGTGGAGAGGTGGTCCAGCTATGCGGTTTTTGTGACCCTATGTAAAATTCACAAAGTAGTGGTTTGAGGACCTGAGTTAAAAAAGAGGATTAAATTGTCATACATCGTTGATAGATAATAAATTATAAAAAAGAATATTCTGGACGAATTGACATCGTGGCAATCGTAAGATTGATTTGGTAGGCTGTTGGATTGTAAATGCAAATCGACAGTCGCTGACTGGTAGAACGTGAACGACATGGAACGAGTTTCAGTCCAAGGAGCGCTCAGACACTTCGCACACTCGATTCGTTTGAAAAACTCGGCATTCGCTCTAGTGAAGCCAACACATGCATGGCAACATTCAAACGTAGTCGAATGCCATATGTTCATGAGTAATACATACAGTTTTCTACCGTGAAGCCTTAATAGAGAACTTTTTTATACGGCAATTACTACTGTTTTATTTATTCAAATGACCGACCTTCACAGATTTGCCGAAGATAATGTTTGTATTTATGTATGGATTCGCCTCCCACTTCAGAATTCTGTAGTCTCTATAAACTTCGTTGAATATTGGTCTGGTTGATTATCCTTCTAATATCGGGATACCTCTTCTAGAGCGCTGATCTCATGAATGCTGTTGTTACGTCTTACATAAGCGCCTTTGTTGTTTTTTTTCGACCATTTTGTTTCAATACAGTTACAAAGCCAGAATCGTCGAATATTGGTGCAGTACTTTTGCTACATGTAGAAATACTTGGAATAGAACAGCTGGCTGTAAACCTTCAAAGAACTTATCTGATAGCCCACAAGAGGATGCGTGTAACTCAGTGTTAAGAGTTGCTGTGTAGTACACTTGTGATCTTTGGTTCGATTCTCCGCTTGGTGCCAATTCAGCTTCCATCACTGCGGAGTCGGCAGATTGTTGCGAGGTCTTACAAAGAGACAGTAATTTCATAGGTTAAATATGCACTTAATCACTCCTTATATGCTGAGAGGTGATCATGTAGCGCAATGCTTAGAGGCTCCTTGTACATGGATACAATATACATGGGACCGATCTCGTGCCAGGTCTCACCAAGCCTTCCGTCCGTCAGGCGTCGGCAAATTGGTACCAGACGTGTCTAGGAGGATAGCAGCACTGGCTCCATACATCGGTAGACAACCGCGAATCATTGTGGTCATATATGCGTTCAGTCATCTGAAGCAATGCTTAGTGAGCTCGAATGCGTGGTGCATTCCTGAGGGACTGATCAACGCCAATCGCTGTATCTCTTTTATCATTTAGGAGAACCGTTCCGGCTAACGTGGCCATCATAATGACGCATGATGGTCGCTGAAGACCAGTCGAGAAATATCAACTCACACTTTGATTCGTGGCCTCTATCACGTCTCACCGATATCAAGTAAGTATTAAGCAGCAATGCTTACTACCACGTACCGCCGTGTTGTGATTCTCGTGATATCTAAGTTTATGCAAATTTGAGATCTGTAATATTGGCAAGTTGATTTGCTCTAGTCAGTCCATGATAAGTTCAGTTGGTTTGCTTGTGCAATGGTGTGAGGTTGACGTTCTCGATATGGGATCTGAACTGTAAGCTTAATCTCGCCGATGAGGACTCTATGATGTCGTGCAGTATTATTCCAACATTCTTTTACGTAGCGAGCGTTGATTACCATCCGTAAGAGATGTGCTGCAACAGGATCCAGATTTTTTTCTTTTCAATTACCTCGCTTCTTGAATAAATCTTCGTCTGTTCATAATAGTGGTCACGTCTTTCTCGTCTTTCCTCTTAATTCTCAAATATATCGTATTCCCACTGTTTTATGGATATCTTACATATGCCACATATTGAGGAATTTTTTGCATATTTAAAAAATCCATACTCATTTTTCGATTCTTTTTTGCAGTACCAATGAAAATCAGGATGGTCAAAAATACTATAACATCGAAGACATAGTAAACTCGGATATGGACACTGTGGTTGACATAACAGATAAAGAACGTAGGTTTAGTTAAGTATTCTCTTTATCCGTCCTTTCATTCTGATGCCAAAGTCACATGTTGGACGAGATGTTCGTGTTCAATCAGTATGAGATACGAAGCGACAGGTAATGGGAAACTCGTTGCACGGTCTAGAAAGTATAATTCCTTATGATCTATGGTATTTGGTAGGCTAGCAGGGAGTTAGCAACAGTTATAATACTCCTTCATTGCTCAGTCCCTACAAATGTAAAGAATATACGTTATGCACGAGGAAAGTAAGAAAAAATTTGGAAATGATTCTGGTTCCATTTTCCTACTGCTTGGCGTTTCGGTAAGAGCAATATTACAGTGTGTACACCTCTAATACTCTCCTAATTCGGCTAAAATTCTCAAGAAAAATGCCTTAAAATCCATCAACCACCTGTGCGCCAAAGTCTATCGTTTCTTTTTAAGCGGGATCGACAACATTAACGACGAAAATCGAACGCAAAATCGCTATTCTCCGTCATGCCGAAACCATGAATGATGTGATCTTTACCGAATTCCTTTCTTTCAGGAAGTGCATTCCGACAGTTGATCATCTCTGTTCGATTAATAACAACCCTGTTTCAGGCGTTTCCAAATTGGTACTCATCATGTATTTCCCATGAGCACTATAGTGCTAAGGATCTCAATCATCCTGTCAAATTGCCATTGAGATCGAGAGGTCTTTCCTTATATAGCGTCGATCCGCCATTAACTAGGGTAGCACACTCCTTTCCTCCTACTGAAACCTTTTGCAGTTTATACACTATCATTGGAATCCCTTTCTTGTTGTTAGCAATAATGATAGCACGTAAATCCGCTCTTTTGCACTTTTCCTTCCTTTCATCCTTAATCCTTTGCTTACTATTCATCACAGTAGTGCGTTTATTCTTTCATTCTACCAAAGATTGGAACTGAGTAGTAACGGATAACATAGGTGTTACAAGATAACTTGTAGTTTTATTCTTAGTTATACTTTAACATCTTGTCAGATAACATAGGAAAGCTTGAATTCGTGACTTACTCCGATACTTGGGTATTTAGAAGACTCATCGTCTCCATATAACTTGTGGCTTCTAGCATTTCTTCCATTTGTCTCATTGTCTTGCAACCATTATACATGAGTTCAACTACAGGCTGAGGCTCAGTATTCTTGCTCTGGTCTCATTAACCTGCAGCTCGAGAATTTCTCTTGAATACTCGAGAAAAAAGGCGCGTTTGGCGCAGTGGTCGCAAGCGCCCTGCAATGCACATGGGATCCATTTCCGCGCCCGTGGCTCACCAAGCCTTCCATCCTTTCGGGGTTTTCGGGGTCACAAGCTGTTACCGGCCTTTATGGATCAGGAGGAGGTTTTCTTGAGACTCGGATCCCTCGGGTACTCCGGAGTTTAAGGCACCGTCTCCCTTAACGGCACCACATCATACGACTATTTGACAAATCACAAAGAGCATGTAACGAGTCGAATTTGTTAGAACGCTTGAGTAGTCGGATTAGAAAATTGCACCAAAGCATTATCGATGTGGTCTAAATGTGTTTAGTTCTATCATACACGTGGATGAAACCCCATCGGTTATCGGAAACAGTAATGGACTGCAGTTCACAAAAACCTTTACTGCAACGACCGCTTTCTCCGATTTGTTTCCATTTTCAATTTTTCCAGTTTAAGACAACATGCAAAGTAGATAGAATGATCAGTATGAGATTGGTTATTATAAGAAATATTTTAAGAAATTTTCCATAATGTCATGCTACGGAGTGCGTGTAGCGCAGTGGCTAAAGGTGCTCTGCAACACAGAACTGGATCAATCGGTGATTCGATCCTGCGTCCGGGTTCTCAAAGTCTTCCATCCATCCTCATCCTGGATCGGCTAGTGGGAGCCAGACTTGTCTGGGGAGATAAAAATATTGAATATTTTAAATATTTGGAAATATTGATTTGGTAAGTCAATAGGCCACCTGAAGCCATTGTCTAGACCAGACATGTAATCACCTATACAATCCTACGAATGGAATAGAATGCATGGCGCTCTAAGGGATTGATCAAGGTCTAGCGCTTTAGCCTTTTATCCTTTAATGGCACTCTCGTCTTTATGTCAAGATTTCTTCGAAAGAATATTATGTGGCTGCATCCAGGTCTTGAACACTAGCCGTCTACTTTCAGTTATCGAAATATGCCTCGAAAATTGTGGGCGAAGCACTGGCCCACGAAGTAGACATTACATGGGAAGCGGTGATTTCTGCTCCAGAACTCGCTTCTGTACAGACAGCATCCGCTATAGCTTCCTTAACTACAAGTATGCTGCAAGCATCATATTTGCGATTGTGGTCAATGAAAACCTCTTCAGATCTGGATACTCATGTTTTCAGATGATAAAACTCATGTATTAATCGATGAATCGTTATGTGATCTGAATCATAGAAAGGTACAGTATGTAAAGATCGGTTAAAAGTAGAAGATAAGGATGATAAGATGAAAAAGCTAGGTAATCGAACTTCAGATGGATTTCATGACTCCAATGGAATTAATGAAACTCGACGTATCGGCAATTGTAGCAACATCTTTAAGAAGCAAAGAACGAGGAGAAAACAGCCTAACCCGACTTCTTAATGGAATAGATGCGTGAGTTTACACCAGTATCGAATCAAAATTTTAACACTGATTTCCCAACCACCGGAGTATTTGAGGAATTGAAAACTTTACAGATTTATGGAGGATAGTTTACTCTATCGCCTTAATCGTATACATAACTTCTACAGAGCATAACTATAATTTTAAACATGTTTGCGATTATAGAAATTTTTAAAAATTAAAAACGTGATTTAAAGCTTTAAAATTCCTAGTGCAAGAGCTGCACCAACGAACATGAACGACCGCATTCAGGAAAAGCTATCATGCCGTGTCGAAAGAAATCCCACTTATTCACTTGCTTTGATTTTCACTATACGACCTTTGACACAAAAAGTGAATGAAAGACGTTTCGTGAGCTGCGGAAAACCAAACTTGGTAGAAGAACATGTCTGGTTTCTTGTAGGAAATTTATAGATTCTAACGAGATTCTAACGATTTTTCTTTCTATTCTTGTTGAGTAGATGACTTCTATCCTAACTAAAAACGTTTACAATGAGAAAAAAATACTGGTTTAAAATTCGAAGTGGACACTGTTTTCCCATCAAATGCATTGTGTACAATGCGTTTTGGCCGTTGTGGTACGTTGATCGTTGAGTGGATTGAATAGACGCCAGAAAAGTCTCAATTTGTCTCTGTCGCGTGCGTAATCCAATGAGTTCTGTCTGCTCTAACGAATCATTTAACACCATATTCATTTTCTACAATCTTCGTGAGAAATTCGTCCTACATAATCCGGTCGCTGGTGGCTCCTGTCTACAGTCCTGGTTTTTTGTCCTGTTGTCCACTCCTCTCGCTATTTATTTTAACCCACTTATCCAACGCTCTCTGGAATGACTTCAAAGGATTTTAGGGAAGCGGTACTACCTTGCAAAAACACTTATTGTGAAATTCTTGTTGCATAGTTACTACTTAGCCCATGAAAAATTTTTAGGTCCCTAGAAGAGACGCGCTAGGTGTGCAAATCTTCTATGACCACTTCCTCTCCGAGTCAGAAGGCGTTAGGCTACGTTAAGCTTTTTCGACTCGATACAAATAAGATAAAGCGGTCTCTTGTACTTTCGTAACACTTCTTTAAGCTCCTGTATTCTATGAATGGGATTCGTCGTGTTAGATCCATTTCGAAATCCTACTTGTTCGCAAGATTGTCATTCATCCAATTTCTTACCACTGATTTCTATAATAACTGGAGTAACGGCAATGTAGAAGAGAGAAAGCAGGAACAGGCAAGTGGATGCACGTTATCGATGTCGTGTCGTTTTCCCAATGTAAAACAATATGCTCTGGAATCTACTACGACTAGTATCCTTTCATTATGAAAAGCAACGTATGGAAAACCGAGTCAAGAAGATGATAAAGATTGGCGCCAGCGTGTTCACGTGTTCGGACCTAATCCAGGCTGTATTGCATGCTCTACGATTCTTTACTGAATCAGAGCGATAACTGGTGACTTTCCCCACTTATTTTCTGGTAGCGACGACTTGTCGCCTAGGCACCGTAAAACGCTTATTTTATATTTGTAAGCGGCGAAGTGGTAAAAAGTAAACCTGGTTCAACTCACCCAACCCCGGGCTCATCAAACCTCTTCAGGACACCAGGAAGAATCCACTCGACCAGAATTTAACGATATTCATAAAGAAGACGACAATCTCAATAGCCACTGAATCAACACGCAAAAGTTCAAAGACTTTTGTAGATGATGGATGCGAGGAAACGAAATAAATGGAAGAAATGCTGCGATTCTCACACTAGATGTAAAGACGGATAGCGCAAAAAAGTGACGAAGTTCGATGGGTGTCGCGGATGCTCTTTCCAAGCTCTGCTGCTTTCTTTTTCTCAATCATTTCGCAAATACAACAACGGGATGGAAAAAGTAGAGAACTTCCTTCTATCATGGAATAAAGGGGTCAACGAAGACATAAAAATGCCCCAAGTTTCTAGGTAAGAGAGCAGCTAGAGATCGATTGATAAACGTCTGTATTTCAAAGAAACACATATGTTGTCCAACACCTATAGCTGAACTGATTTTCCGCTGTAGCGCGTGGCGGTACATTTACTTCTGGCGCTATACAGCATTGTTTTCTTTCACTGATAAACTAACACGAGGTTGATACAAATGTTTATTTGGCTAGCGTTTCGACGTCTTCGTCTTTACAGCCGATATCCGTCAATCTCTAAGGAAGAGAAGTCATCGAAACGCTAGCCGAATAGACATTCTTATTAACGTCGTGTTAGCTTATCAATGAAAGAATACATATTGATTATTCATGCTGAAGTTAAAGGAAAGTGTTTTTGAAATATTGATTCGCTATCTGCTAACCTTCCAACGGTTTATCACCTCATCGTCGCTGAGAGGTGTTCCTGGGTGTCGGACTGCGATGTACAGCGGGGGAATTCGTCGCGCCGGCAGGGTCTCCCAAGCTAGGAAGGAGTCTGGCGTTTCCATCAGGAAGCCTAGCTAAGAGTAAACCAATACCAGGATCAGCCACCGTCCTGGTATCAAAGTCGCATGGTGGCAAACCTTCCTCTGATCCACAAGAGCTGCGACTGCCTGTCATGGTGACGACCTGAGGCAGACTTTGGCCAGGCTAACCTCAGGATTCCAGGGAAGCACAATGGTTTAACTATCAAATCTCCGAAAAAGTGAAGATTATGCTGGGGCCCGCGCAACCAGTAAGGAGAGACCGTTCAAGTGTCAAATGTCAAGTATCTGCTACCTGTATATAACTATTGTGCGACCATATCAACTTCCTCTCACATCTATGATCGCACCGAATAAGGAACAAGCATTCTTTAATCATATCATGCTCACGAAACCTGAGCAAACTAAAATCGTCTTGCTTGGTTCAAAAACGAACAATTCGGAAGAAGCTAAGGTAGTGTAATATAAGCGGTAAAAATCTCACACACTGTGTTAATTTTTAAGAACGAAACATAACCATGTAGATGCTGGGATATGAATAGAACTCGGAACATCAGCTAGGCTTCGAAACCACGAATACTTTTATTGGGAACTCACGTGCTATCCACCACCCTAACCAAAGCCCTTGCTTTGTCTTTCTATCGGCTATGCTTCTACTCCATCGTTTCTGTTAGCAATAACCCATCAACATAAATGATTGTAATTTCAACACTTTTCGACTGCTGCTTCAGAGTTGTTGGGTCCAATATTGATTTGTGCCCCCAGGTCATTTCCGTTGACTGGTTATCACTGGTAGCAACAATAGTGTAAAAACTTGGCTGAAAGAACGGCAAAGCTAGGGGGGCCTCGGTTGTTCTGGAGGATGGCGAGTGAGGCCCTAGATAGGGTGGTCGCGAGTTGGAAACCCAGCTGAGGTTCCGAGTTTTGCTCATACCTCAGCATCCACATGGTCATATTTAACATGGTACCCTGCCATGATAGAAAAAAAAAGAATAGGCAGAAAATAAAAATCAGCACATTTTAACACTAGGTATTCCAGAGTGCAGAAGATCCATAAAGGCAATTTGATCGTCGTCGTAGGACCGACTGCCTTCAATGTTATCGTACGAGAATTCCTTGGAAGTGATGATAAGGGGTTGAAAGCATCGGATATACCACAACTTGCCTGCGTTGTACTGGAAAGGGTAAGTTCTAGAATGGAGTAGCTACGTATAGATTCACATTATGTTTGTTTCAGGGACCACGGTCATGGAAACTGTACAAGAAGCAGGTACTTCCGATAAGAAATAACGGTATCATGTCGTCGACGTTTGATCCGTTATTGTATCTGTCGAAATAGATGCATAATTATTGTAATTTAAAAGTTGCGAACCGAAACTTAAATCAGATTAAATGCATTCCTTGATAGCATCGGCATGTTTGTGACCACTTCATCACAAAAAGCAGTAAATATTTCCTGGCAGAATGTTGGATTTGTCTCCGTATTTTGTTGTATCGGTAAGCTTACACAGATTTGTTACAAAGATCTTCCATGTGGCTAACGTTTCGGCGCCTTCGCCTTCATCAGAGCTGCAATTATTTGAATCGGATCTTCGCAGCAGTTAGTCCTTGCGATGTGTTTTTATAATCCCATACAGTTGAACCCATCGGAGTAGTAAACCACTCGAAGAAAAGAAAAAACTGAAAAACCTCTAAAAGAACTTATCTTGCCTTCATATTCCTTTAATTCACTTCAACATTCCAAAGAAAAAATTTGTTTTAATTCTCCTATACTGCATATTTTTGGGTAGATAGCACGTGAGCTCCAGAAAGGTTATTCGGGGATTTGAAGCGCACCCGCGGTTCCAAGTTTTGCTCATGTCTCAGCATTCTTGTAGTTATGTGTGTTTTGGTTCTTTTCTTCTCCTTTCGATAGATAAACACTTTAATATAAAGTATGTGATGCATTGGCAGCTCGAGGTGTCAGAAATTCAAAGAGGGATAACATGCTTTCGATGAAGAACATTTTCACATAGCTAAGGAGTGAACTGAACTAAGTCGCTTCTCCCTAAACCCTTCTGCCAAATACATTCTAGCTGTAAAGCAATTTGACCTTTTCATTCTCGAATAATGTCATCGGCGACATGTAGAGCGTACCAGGACATCTCGGTAAGCTTGTTCACATATAGTGCAGATGCCAGTACTTGTCCCATTCGTTTTAGGCTCACGCAACGGTTATTTCTTTTTGAGCTGCTTCCAACAGTCTTTTCTCTCTGTATCAATTTAAAGTCTCATGAAAAGTTCCTCTTCGGCAAGCACTTATTATCAAACGTTATTACCAAAAAGCAAACCTGGTTTACTTTTTTTTTTGTAAAATCAATGTGGATATACAGCTTGAACTTTTTGATCGAAGAATGGGAGTTTGTTCGGCGCAGTAGTGAAATCCTTCGACAAGCAGCTCGCAATTTTCCGCGAGTCTACTTAATTTTTCACTCAAAGAGGAATGATTTACTCCAGTTGTCATACGCGACTTATGCTCTTCTCCTGAAATGGTGTGAAGAGGTCTTCTCGAGTATATGAACGAAGGGAATTCTTAGATGGAGAAACCGGTGATCGGATCTATTGCAGAACGATGTCCCTAAGAAGGCGTCAAAGAAACTCTGTTTGTGATCGATCTCCGCATGACTCACGTCAATATGTGATTCCTATATCCAGTAGAGATTATTTTTCTCCAAAATTGGTCTCTATGGATAAGATGTAGTGTGGATAGTAGTCCTGGTAAGACTGTTCCCACTCTCATTCGACCGCTTATTCCAAATATTCTTACCCTGTATTCACTTTTGTTGGCCCTTCCAAATCTGATCTGAATGAAAGACTGTAATTTCGAGTTACACCCGACTCAGGGTTACAACCCATCATTGCAGAAAGCATCCAACACCCTCTTATCAGCTGCACTAAATGGTGAGTGACAACTGATGAATGCAATTTTCTCGTAATGGAGAAGTTGAAGACGGAAAACGGTCAAGGGAGATCTATTATGATCCAATTAGATGGATAACGGTAAAGTAAATAAGAAATACCGTCAGTAATTCGTGATAACACCATTTCTTAGCAAGTAACAAGCGCATTTAGGTGAAGTATGCCGTCCGTACTTTTCGTGTGATGCAGCAGAATCATAGGGAATTGTTCGCAATCGATCAAATCAACCTTGGCGAGCCCGTAGGCTTTATAAAATATGCATGCTTCCTACTACGGATAATTCACATTCGACAAAACCATTCTAACATTTCGGACTGGAATGGTTCGAAAATTAAAGACATCGTTAATCACAACCGCTTGACTATGATAAACCTACGAGTTAACAGAGAACTAAGGTGAGAATTTAGGCCTAACTAGAATAGCTGAATACCAAGGTGACACAGGTGGAATGTTGATGATTAAACTACTATGGCTACTGAGCCGAAACCATTAGTCCATTCTGCTTTCTTTTATACCCTTTTGAATGTAAAAATTTCTTTTCAAAGTGCATTACTTCAACAATGAAGCAGGACAAGAAGTTAGCTGATCAGTGAAGGAAAAGTAAGTCGCTTACTACTTTTATTGTTCAAATGGCGCTCTATAAGCCCTTTTCTTACTATTGGAACCACTATTGCAAAAGCACCAAAGTAACTATTCTGATTTAAAGAATCAAGCCCTTTCGGTACAATGGATTCTAGAACCTACAAGAACCTACAATGACCCACGGTTGCCTACGGATCGAGCAAATCACGCGATCACTGAGGAATTGAGGATTATTTGCACGGGGCACGTGCTTGAACTGAATACCAGTGTATATTTTGTGGATTCTTTACGTAATACACATTCAACCATACATAAAGTCAAGTGCATGTGACTTGTGTGGGAATCTACACACGTACGACTATCTAGGATTAGGGATCATCTATGTTTAGCACGATGTGCGAACAAGTAGTGACATCACTGACCTCCACTCTCATCACTCGATGATCAACACGAAGACGTGTTGTCTGAAAATTGCCAGAGAATTGAATTTTGACAAGAACAACAAATATTTGTCTACAAAACCGCGGGGTAAGACAAACATGAATCCGAGATTTATCATTCTTCTCAGCAATACAAACATGTATATAAACTCGAAAGACCGACTTTCTATAAACCTCGGCATAGATAGTTGATATATTTATTTATGTGATCTTATAAACTTCTTAAGCTGACGCGAGGTTGGTACAGATCTTCGTTGTCGTTCTTTTTGATGTTATTGATCGATGGCTGACGTTTTGGCGACTTCGCCTTCCTCAGAGCCTGGACGTATTTTATGTTAGAATACTTTTTATTATTCGGTGGAAAAGAAGGTTAAAGTATTAATGAAGATCAAACTTTCAAATAGACGCCATACTGAACAGAAAGGCCACTTACGTGGCGTCTATTTGAAAGTAACACTGTGATGTTACGTGCGGGACTGGCCCACACGTAGTTCACGTGGAGTCGCGAGCAAGACACGCCCCGGGGTCAAAATATCATTTTGAAATAGGGCGCCAGGTCACGCGTGATAGTGAGGCATTCGTCCTTCCGGTTCATCGTTGGATTTTTGAAATTTATCCAAAACGCCTCAAGAGTTTTGCGCGGTGATGTTTTTGATTCCTGCGCTAGGATCCGCACATTCACTTCAAAATCATCGCCGTTGTGCTTTTGTGCCCTATGCGTACCAAGAGGAGTGTTTAGACGGATTTTAGCTTTTCCATTTAGATGTTCTTTTATGCGGACACAAAGTGGTCTACCCGTTTCCCCGATATATTCCTCGCCGCACGCATTACATGAGATCAAGTATATTATACCTAAACTCATGCAGTCCCCGTCTCTCCCGTTGGGACAGATCATACAGTTTTTTGAGCTGCACAAACGATCATAGAGACGGTTTCGAACTAACAGGCGGCGTAGGGTATTGGGTGGAATGTCAATAATCATCACATAATTTTCAAGACCTCTTTTTCTTAAGCACGTCTTATTGGTGTGACTTACTTCATTTGATATGGAGGGCAGCTTAAAGGGGATCCTACTTTCGTCTGAAATATTATTTTGGGAAACTACCCAATGTTTTCCTCTAACCCGAGTGGCTTCTACTTCGTAGCCATTGGAAATGGCAATTTTTCGTGCCAGGCTTCGCGATTCCTTCCTTTCCTCTTCTCCCTTGCACACATTCTTAGCCGTACGATACATATTTTTGATAAGTGCTTTTTTCATGTGTGAAGGATGAGAGGAGAGGCAGTGGACTAGAATGCTATTACTACTTGGCTTGCGATACCATTTTGTTACATAGCCACTTACTGAGAGCTTTATTTGGATGTTTAAGAATGGAAGCCAGTTCTCGGTTGGCTTTTCTCGTGTAAATTTTATATATATACTTTGACTGTTTTAAAGTATTTATATACTTTGACTGTCGGTTTAATAATTCGAAGCACTCATCCATCTGTTCTTGTGTGGAACAGACGATGAAGCAGTCGTCTATGTATCGACAGTAGAGTAAGGGTCGGCGATAGAGAACTGGAGCTTCCACCTTAGACATGAAAGCGATGGCAAGGCTTGGTGCTAAACGCTGCCCATTAGCCAACCCTCTAATTTGTGCAAAATATTTTTCAGACCACCTGAATATTGAACAAATAAAACACTGTTTTAAGAGGGTCATTAGTTGCGTAATCGACAAGCCGGGCATTTTTATTTTCTTTTCATGCTCTACGAGCAACTCGAGAATGGTTTGCATTGCGGAGTCATTCGACACGTTGGTATAAAGTGAACTAACATCGAATGACTCCATTATATGCGTGCTGTTTGGTTGCCCGCGCCTTAGGTGATTTAGAAATATTTTGGTGTTAGGTAGATGGGTTGGAATGAATTTTAAGAGCTGGGTTAGGACAAGGTTTAGGAACCACGTTATTCTATCCGTTGGCCCGCCTATACAACTGATGATAGGTCTAACTTTACGTGATGATGGGTTCGTTGACGTAATATCATCAGTTGAAGTAAGCATATGTGTTTTAATAAGCAAGTAAAGGACAGTGCAAATCGGGTGTTCGTTCTTAAGTCGAGAAATAACTGAAGGCTCTAAACCCGCGGACTTTGCCGTGCTGACCCATTCTTGATTTAATTTTCGGTATTGATTCCTGTATTCCTTTTCAGAGGATGTTCGATAGAGAGAAACATTATTGAGGTGCTCCTCTGTTACCCTAATATCCAACTGACTAGGAAGAACTACAAATTGTCCGCCTTTATCACTAATAGAAAGTCTAACAGATTTTGAATTCAAAAGCTCTCTAACCTGGCGCATACATTTCTGTTGGTGTGTGAGGTCGGAGCTTCTTTTTCGTTTTTGGTAGTGATTAAGTATGCGGAGAATTTCGTCCGAAAATAAACGAAATGTAGGGTCAATATCGCTATTTGGTAGCTCATGTTTAAAGAAAGTTCGAGGAAAGGGTATTGGTGGTAGTTCCCCCTTAATACTACTTTGCCTAACCTTTCTAGCCTAACCGTGTAACGTAGCTAATCTTGAAGTTCATGTAGCCTACACGTGATCCTGCGCAGGATTGGTTTAGAAATGGGTTGACTAGGTGCAAAACTCGGACCCAATTCTAACAAGGAACGCACATTTTCCGGAAATGTTATCCCTCCTAGCACAGACACCTTGGATTTTCTTGGTGCGCAGTCTATTTCAGGGTTTTTACTTGGAACTTGACCAGCGAAGGTCCTTTCATTTGACGAAGATCTGTACCAACCTCGCGTCAGTTTAAGATCAGTTTATAAGATCACATAAATAAATACATGAACATGTATATAAAGTCGTAGAAGGGGAAATCAGCGGCACCTAGTAGATTAAATGTACAGCCAATTCACACTTATTCAATACCTACATAAAAATGCAAAAGCATATAAAATCAACGGTTGTACACAGAGAATATCAAAATAAATTAGTTAATCTAGTTGATATCCATTTTAAATCGAAGGACCAGTCGGCACCCAGCCACCGAAACCTTCCTCGAGATCTTTTGCAGCAGCGATAAGTAATCGGTCGGAATTTGGTGCAGCAACGATCTTTAAAAAAATATTCTCCAACACTACAGAAATATTGTAAACTAGTGCGCACGTACTTGAACTCCCAATGGAAGACCATTCTTATCCAAACCCATCGGACACTGAATAGCTGGGAAAGCGATTGCGTTGAATAACGCCGTATAAGCAAAGTTTATAGGGGCAAGGAGAGGTTGATTATGGAATAGAGCGGTAGATGGCCAACTGAAAGAGACATAATCAGAATTGAATGCACAAAAAATCAACCTATTCTACAACAACACACAAATCAGACTATGAATCATAGATTAGATAGCATGCCTCTTTGCGTCATTATCTGAGTTACTTGTCAAGCTCCTACAAAGTTTTTCAGGCTTTCCTTTTATATTGAGAAATTTTCCAGTATAGAAGACGGAGATAGTGGTCAAAACATACATAAACATAGTGCCATTTTCTTGCGAAACATACCTAGGAAAAAGAAATATTCCATCAGAGCCCAATAGTTCCTTCAGCTCACGTATCAGTAGATCACGCTTGTAGCCTATCTAAAGAAATTAATATGAGTGATATCGCAGTGGCATAGTTCCCCATTTCCCTAGAGGAGGCATAAAGCATTAGATGACCACTACTCCATTTGTTAAAGAAAAAAAGACTTCTTTTAAATGATTTCACTAACTTCTCCTTTCTTCATATCACTCAGCGCATCTGTGTTATCAATAATCGCACCAATTATGCCAGGTAATGTGTGATTCGATCTTCCCAGAAAAAACTTTACCAACTCTACGAATGTGTTCACATGTCCTTTCGAAGCCTAAATGCCAGGAAATTCCCCAGTGGATACTTCTAAATTACGACACATTCCAAATTCTTGGAAACCTACCTCAGCACAAAGCATGTACTCAGAAAGTTTAGGGCCCCCTTTGACGTACATGCTGACCATGAACATTTCCACTGCGTAGCGAACCAGTGGCAAATCAAGACGATGGGCGATTAGATCGTACTTACGCTCAAAATATCCGACTGCCTAAAGTCCAATATCAGTAAGTATCGCACTACGTGTCCAACATTCATACAACAAAGATTATTTCAGATGTCCTACTTATTTCCCTTTTCTTTGCCATCGGACCTCATATATATATCGAATTTCTAGTCAAGGTTTGCTTTTAGAAAGAAACCACACTAACAAAAATCAAACAACCAGTACTTTTCGAAGCGTAGCCCTCATATCACTGCTTAGGGGCTGCATCAGTGGTACATCATGGATACCCTCCATGTAGAAAATCCGCAGTTTGCTCATAAACACCGGTTCATCGAGTTTTAACGACGGCACCCGATCGCCGCCCATTACCTGAACAACTTGACATTACAATCAGACTAAAGATTAACCTATAGTAGTAGGGTTCGTAACGAATACTTCCTAGTTCTGCTTCTGATAATGGCAAAGGAATTAAGAAACATACGTAGAAAAAATGGCGCAAGTAGCGCAGTGGTTCGAGGTACCCTGAAATGCATTTGTGATTGTCAATTTGACCTCGTGTACCAGGCTAACAGTGGTTCCCATTCCTATGGCAACGGCATATTGGTACCAGACTTGTTTAGGAGGATAGAAACACTGACTAGATAGGATAAAACCACTATGATACTGAGATATTTACAAGACTTAGACCCCTGGCCAGATTCGAACCCGCGATTACCCTTTTCTAGGGTTCACATGTTACCTACTGCATAACTGAGGCCCTTGTTTTGCTTTTCTCTCAGCCAGTTTGACTTGATACATCGGTAGAGAATAGTAAGCATAGGCCTGATCTGCACTCAACTATACCATGCTTGGTGAGGTCGAATACATAGAGCATCGCTCAGAGATTGATCAATGCCGAACGGTCTACTTTTCCTTCTCTAAAGATAAAAAAGTAATTTAGAAATGAGTCATGGTTTCTTCTTGAGCAGATAAGAGGCTGTTAATAACAAGATTCATTCAATACTAGACTATGTCTGCGCTCTTTCGCCTTATTTGAAAAGCTGGAAAGGTCAAATTGATTCGCAACCTACTCATGCAAATACTTTCACAACCAAAGCAGAAAAAACTCAATGCACAAATTCTACTTCACAACTTAGCAAGATTACTAGAAAATAGTGACGACCTTGATTAATAACGGAATATCCTCAGCAAACCGACACATTGGTCCAATTCGCAACATCTGAGCTTTATAATGCGTAGCTGCTGGTATGTGCCCATCCAAGGGAATAATTCCTGAATTACAATAGCCCTACATATATGTAAAAAGAAAACTGACGCATTTAACAACGATCGAAAACGGAATATTGTTTGGCTCAACAACTTAGCAAAGCAAATCTTAAAGGAGAGATGACGGACTCACTAGCCCCTACTTTATCCTTACACCGTCTAAGCAATCTACCACAATGGATACTTTAGATGAAGTTACCTGGTGTCGTCTTCATGCCAAAGATTCCATTAAAAAACGCCGGCATACGAATCGAACCACCGATGTCGCTTCCTATTCCAATCTGAAAACGAGAAAATATGAATGTGATCTATTGTTCCGAGACGAAACAGAACTGAAACAAACATCTGTTTCAAAAGTAGTAAATGCACTAATTTTATTTCGTTTTTAGATTGCAGAAATAACTGTAGACCAATCCTGTCATGTCGATACGTTGATAACGTCGATATAGTACGACGGATTTATGTAGCTTATTTTCCATCATATATCAATTTCACTCTGGGATCCTATTAAAACGGAAAAATGCATGTTTGGAAACTGAATTTAAAGAAACAGCAATTCACTATCTGGATAAAGAAGCTCACAAGACTTCCAGCTGCGCCCAGCAATGCGCCTTCGCCTCCGCTGCTTCCACCGGCCATTCTTCGCGTATCATATGGATTCATAGTTCGGCCATATATTGTGTTGCAAGTCTCCACCCACATACAAACTTCCGGAACGTTCGTAATTGCTAGGAGAATCCCGCCTGCAGCAATCATCCTTAACGAAATAATTATCGACTTATACAAAGGAGTTTCGTAAATGGTAGAGAATGGTTGCTCATTTGCTTCCTTAATACATGGACATACTTCATGAGCTCAAAAAAGTGTAACAGAGAAATGTATTTTTTCACTTTCAATGACACCACAGCGCTTCCTTCGCTTTATACTGAGATCACCAAGCTGCGAGACTTCAGCTATACGCTGGAGAAGTGATATTACGCAAAATGGAAAAAAGAAAGATTCGACTCGACACGATGATATAGACACGACATGGAAAGTATGAACAACAGCGAACCATCGACTCGGATCACCGGCTCCGAGAAAGACAAAGACGTCGAAACTTTAGCGGAATAAGGTCCTTTACCAACATCGTGTTGGCTTATCAATGAAAGAATACATGTTAATTAATCATACCGAGGCTAGAGGGGTGTCGGTTTTTGAAGAATTGCAACAGTAAAATCCAGAATTTTACATGATTGCAGAATTTCACCTAAGTCTGGATATAATATGAACGGAAAAATAGTTGCAAAAATAGGTACATTAAGCTAGAATTTGTCGTTGTTATAAAAAGACACTGCAATCATTGAGTCATTCTTCACAAAAAAGAAAAAGTAGAAGACTTATGTTATAAAAGCCCTTATCTGAGATTCATTCTAAATCATGTACAGATACCATCAATCAGAGCTCTTATCAAAAATAGCTATTAATGCTATTCATAAAACATCAAACGCCAAACCCGCCAAAACCAGATCACAGAACTGAAGAACCGAAAAAAGGAGCTGCGAAAGCCACCTATGAAAATGAATGGAGTGAACATGAATAGTACCTCTCTACCACTTCTGCTGTCTTGCTGCAACGATCATCTTTCCGATTAAAAATGCCGCATGTTATTACAAAACCATCGACCAACAGAGCATCTTTCATTGTGAACGGTACACCAAGTAAAGGTTTCGACCGAACAAGCTGAAACGCATCATTAAATCCCTTCCTTTTTTTTGAAAGAAAAAATACGAAAGTTACAAATGTATCCCAACATATGTTTCCTACTAAATAAAACAAGTGCAAGTGAATGTGATGTTCCCGATATTACATTTCTGTGATGGAATGAGCAAAACATGAGCACCCCGAAACAGTAGTAGCGGATTGGAATCTGGCCTGGAGTCCGAATTGGGAAAATATCCCAATACCCCCGTGGTTATTTCCGAAAGTTTAAAAACCAGAACCACGATGAACAACACGAACTACTGATGTTGTAAAATAGAGGAAACATTCGTAGATTCCTTTGAATAAAGAGCCGTTCATCTAGTGCATATCGGGAACTTGATAATGCACACATTTAACGCTAATTTCGTACATCGACTTGAATATACGGATTCGAATCATTTTTGAACAGTATGGGTAAAATGTGGAAATGACCTCGTCTAATTCACTATCTGATGCAGCGCTAACTTTTTCATCCACTTTTCGTGCCTTCTCGCAAGCTTCGTCGAAATTTTTTATCACCACAGCATTAATCATGGGGTTGACCTCAAAAGTGGTTGAACTAAAACGAAAATAGGGATTCAGTGAAGATTTGTTTATAAAACATAAACAAAAAACATCAGTTATAAATGAGGTACACAAAAGTGTATAGGACCTCACCTCTTCCATTCGTTGAATATACGCTTGTACAAGGTCAAAAGAGGATATCTAAAAGTCGGAATGAGAAATATCAAAATCAAGGCGAAGAGAAAATCAAGAAACTCAACCTCCCGTCTAATGATTTTCTTGACAGCTTGTGTGGCGCTGATAAACAACAAGTCTTCTGCTGGATTAGTCACGTGGACCCGTGAAGTGAAAAAATGAATAAAGTAAAAGGCGAGATCAACGGTGAGAAAATATATTCCTGCAACGACCATTACGAATGGATGCAACTTCCGGAATGCACTGTGAAGTGTGCTGCTGAAATAGTGAGAAGTAATGTTCCGAAAGGCAAAAATCAAATGGGAAACAGCTTTCTTGTGCCAACAATATAAAGACCTGAAGTAAGTATGAACTTAGTGTAGTAGTGAAAAGCCCTTGCTACCCTTGCTACTTTATTAGGTGAAAATTTCGAAAGACAATATATCCAGTCCAAATCCACCTTTGGGTTAAGATGGTCTAGTATGACATGTTTGATTTCGCAGTAGGAAGGCTTATCCTATATCTATAGTTCCAAATGTACTTCTATTAGCTTTTTAAAACACATAACAACGTGGTAATAATGTGCTCATTGCATCATTGAAAACAATAAGAAAAATATGCTGAGAAATACATCTATAAAGCGACAAAATAACCATAAAAAACCAATGACTTCAGCTTTTAGCTTTAGGATCGGTACCTAGAGCACAGCGTTTAGAAGCAAAAAAATGCGGTGACAAAAAAGAAAGACACCTGAACCATCCTTGTTCCAGAACTGGGTATTCTATAGTGGAGAGTTATACAACGTGATTAACCAGTAAGTCACGACTAGGTAAGATAATATGACCCAAATAAAAACTAAAGAACAAACAAGCCTTGATCCGTGCTAATAAATGGAATAAGTTCGTGAAGAGAAGCCAATCTGTACCAAGAAAAGAATCACAATCACTCGATAATTAGAATTACCCCTCAGAAATAAATCACAAAATTCCAACTTTTTATTTACCGCTCATGTTTTCATGGTAGGGTTTGATATGAAACATAATCATATGATATTGAAAAATGATGGGCAAAACTTATAACCTCAGTCAGGCTTCGGACCCGCGATTATCCTTACCGGGGCTCACGCGCTATCCAACACTAGCAGAGGCCCTTGCTTCACCTTTATCTCAGCCACTTTTTTACTCTATCGGTGCTATCAGCAATTATCCGTAAACAGGAATAACGGGATTCCTGTTGGATTCATTCCCAGTGACCGCTGACTGCTGATAGTATTCATAGAGTCGAAAACTGGCTAAGAGAAAGGCAAAGGAAAGATAGCACGTGAGACCCCAGTAAGAGTAATCGCGGGTTTCATGAGCAGCTGAAATTCTCAGTTTTGCTCATGTCTCACCATCTAAGTGCTTATCAAAGGAAAACCAGGAACTACATCGAATATGTGGCAATACGGGCAGAAAAAAAGAGCTCGACCATCTTCACGATATACTGAATAAAAACTCACTAAAAATTTTAAAAAGCACGGGCTGTTAAGAAACTGCACAAAAGTTTTTGCAGTATTATATTACTTCCCCTCCCAAGAGTTTTCCGCCTCACTGTGGCTGGCTGGGAGGTGTTCCTTGGTGTCGGGCTACGACGTATAGCGGGGGGATTCATCTCACCGGCAAGGTCTCCCAAGCCGAGAAGGGGTCTGGCATTTCCATCAGAAAGCCCAGTTAAGCGTAAAGCAATACCAGGATCCACCACCGTCCTGGTATCAAACTAGTCGCATGATGGCAAATTTCTCTCTAATCATCAAGGGCGGCGAGTGCCTGTGGTGGATGACCTGAGGCAGGCTGACTAGGCTGAGCTCGGGACCCCAGGAAGAACCACGATGGCTAAACCAGAAAAACTCCGAAAAGCAAAGATTATGCTGAGGCCAGCATAATCAGTCAACACAGGCCGCCTAAGCATCCAAGTAAGTTCCCCTGGAGTCCCGAGATCTCCAGGGAAAAACAATGGTTAGACCAACAAAACTCTGAAAAATGGAGAATATTCTGGGGCCAGCACAACCAATACACCCTATGTTAACTGGGTATTTCATGGATGACTCGCATCGTTGACATACAAGGTTGTAAGTGATAATCCTCAAATAGTACGTGAAAGGACGAGCAAGAAGTGAAAAACGATTATGAATTCATACAGAGAAAACCAACATCAGCCATCCAACATTCCGGGAATACTAAATTTATGCAAAATTTAGGTGATAGCACCATCTTACTAGTAAGTCGCGATCCCTTAGGTTGCGTTGATGGCAAATAAAAATTTGGAAGTAGTGTTCTAGTTATTCTTACTGTGAAAGCCTTATTTGGAAAGAAATATACATTATGAGTGGAAAAAACATTTTTAAAACAACGTAATACATACAATGGCAAGTTGTAGGCTAAAATCATGAATGATGCGATAGTGAAAGGAGTGCAACGAAAGACAATTAGGCAACAAATAAGTAGCGGACGACGGAAGTTCGATCCCTGTAAGATCGCTACAAACTGTCAGCAAAGCATGAATCTGTGAATTGTTCTGAAGCCAAATCACATTCATTTGCTGAGGAAATTCACTAGTGGCACTACAAACACAAAGCTCTCAACGAGACAGATACATCCTATTATCAGTTTATTATTACTACACAACGTAGAGTTATATCGACATATCACTCAGCATAACCTACATTTATAAGTCATAGTTTCCTTATAAGAGCACAAGCAATACGTTGCGTTAAACTTTAGGTGGGTACAATTTCATAAACAGAAAATATAGATATATCCAATATAATAAACATGAATATATTCACTTTAATAAGCAGTTTCCACGGAATTTCTACTAAGCAAGATAAATGAACCTACAAGTTAATAGATTTATCACGGAGAACTAGCCGATAAACGATTTAGAGACTCCGGTTGGATTAATTTGTAAGCAATTATGTTATTCCTGCAGGATATTCTACTTGCGAGCGGTTTCGACCAGATTTTTCAAGGACCACGCATGTAGATAGTGGCAATGGAGTTGAACGCGTATCAGGAACAATGACAGTAGAATTATTTCTCTGCAAATTTGCTCCCGCCTCTAATTAAATAATAAATAACTACATGTGGACTTTGAGGAAGATACAATAACTGGCAACATGGAGAATACTAATGATTCGTCAACATCATCATAGATGGAAACCCCCGAAGAGCTTACCAGGAACCAGGAGACTTGTTTTTAAACTCTCGAGAATATATGCCAGCATAAAGTTGCTTGAGCCCAGAGAACTATGAAAAAACGAAGCATTTGGTTGAATAGGCAGCACATCGACGTGGCAACAGTCGTTCTGAAGACTCAGTAGCCCACGGAGACTTCATCCGAAGGTCGTAAAAACACTATGAGGCCATTAAAAACATAAGAAAACAAATTACTAACACTCCTGCACATAAAAGGAATTCAAAAAACCGCACCTTGGCATCAAAACGTTGACTAACGACTTGATGATGCACAAGAGGGTGAGGAAGTATGGCGCGATTTGCTGAAGTCGATGATGCCGTCGGTTGAACATCGCTCCTAGAACAAAGGACAATTTAATAAAATACGTAATAGCAGATCAACAACTGGATGAATATCAACTCCTCATGAAGCATTAACATGTAGTACGAGCACCAACCAGCAAAAGTACCATGACATCTTATTAAATGGCTTCCTCAATATGGAGGAAATACGTACGACGAAGACTAGCAATTCTATAGTAGTACTCGAGAATCAGGACATACTAGGGTAAGCACAGATTTCATCAAGTCAATCAACACCTCTGATTAGCAGCGGTTTAAAAAATTACTGCACATAGGAAATAAGTTTACCAAATTGACACTACCAAAGGTAAATCAACCAAAACATGTCTAGATTGAAGGCATTGACCACTAGAGTCATTGCTGGTTTTAAGATCGACGCAACCGACAAAATGGTGAAAACATTAGGCTAATACAAAACACATGGCCGTTTGAAATTCATGAAAAAAATTGCAACAAATATTCTTCACACACATCACCACTGTAAATCTTATTTATCTCTTGACGGATTGCCTTGTAGTGTCTTTCCTTAATTCCTTCACGACCACGTACAACAATTCCAAAACATAAGCTGCTGTACGTTTCGGACCGTATGTCTTGATTTAAATGCGCGCTCCGATCGCACTCCAATGATACGCGGTCCGATGAGCCCGACACCCGAAAATGTGAGGGGTTGTGAAAGGGTTAAAACTCAGTTTGCAATGATTCTAGATCAATTCACATGATGCTCACAAAGCATGGAAACCTCATCGTTTTGTTTCATGAGTTCAAACATAGAACAACGATAGCAACCCAAAACATCACCGAAGGCTGGGCCAGCAATAAGTTTCTGGAAACAAAATGCACAAATGGTTCCTAAAGTTGCAAAGTTGAGATGAACCTTCCCAATGGTGAAGGTCGTGGAACGCCGTCAATAGCAGACAACAACGATCATCTCGTTCGACCACAGCAGCGGCGCCTCGAGAAACTACTTAAGTCACAAAACAGTTCAACATTCACAACTCGGTCGCTAGTCGTTCGTTGTTCGGAAAACAGCGGAAAGGTGAAAAAAATTCGATAAGTGAGTACTTAATGATTTCGACTAACTGCACTGAACATGTCGTCATAAAATCACGCCGGTTCCATAGGGCTTTGTTGTGACAAGGGAAATGATAGTTATAATGACATTTTCGTTTTCAGTGAAGGGAATCATGCAACTAAACGCCTTTAGTTTTGCATCAGTGATCGCAATACGGAACTAGTATAATGAAATCGATGAAGTTTTGGAAATTACATAGTTTTCACACGTTGAATGTCAGAATTTGAACATTCCGTGCAAAACGAACAGGAACAAACGACCAACTTTCTATACAAACAGCTAAGCCTACGGAGCTTAAACAATACAATGACTAATCTGTTGCTGCTAATTACATTCTGAAGACAAGGTGTTTGCGTAACCCCTACTAGTATTGATAGAACGCTAAACGGAAGCCAGTCATATGAGGTAATTGCTTTTCTGGAAGAATTAGAAAATCTTCGGAAAAAAACCTCACGTCAACATCATTTTGTACGCACTGAAAACCTCTGACTACAATCGGTATTGGTGATACCTTGACTTGTGTGATCAGAAGTGGACTGATTAGCTCTGTCCCACCAATTCATAACCCCAAGTACGGTTGAGTAAAAACGCCTTCTTTTTGGAACACGAAGTGATTACTAAGCGGTCAAAGAAATGACCATGAGCATCAAAAAGACGAAGCAAGATACGAAAGCACAACAGTTGCATCTCGTTCCAAGTTGCGAAACAAATGTGTATAGATACTTCTTGATACTTGATACTTGAACGGCCCGTCCTCACTGGTTGTGCGGGCCCCAGCATAATTACCATGTTTCGGAGATTTGCTGGTTAAATCATTGTGGTTCCCTGGAATCCCGAGGACGGCCTTGCCAAATTCTGCCCCGGATCGTCACCACGGCAGTCAGTCGCAGTCCTTGTGGATCAGGGGGAGATTCGCCACCATGCGACTTTTGATACCAGAACGGTGGTGCATCTTGGTATTGGTTTACTCCTAGCTAGGCTTCCTGGTGGAAACGCCGGACTCCTTCTCAGCTTGGGAGACCCTGCCGGCGGGACGAATTCCCCGCTGTACATCGCAGTCCGACACCCAGGAACACCCAGTCACGATGAGGCGGTAAACCGTTGGGAGGAATGTGTATAGAAGAAATCATAATACCGTAATGACCTTAAGGTTTAACCCTTAACGTTCTTAACTGTGACTAACCTAGTATCAGCAATGTATTTGTCAGTTTAATGGAGGAAAACCGAAAATCTCCTACAAACCCATACTATGTCACATATATCGCTAGCAGACGTCACTCACTGGCTGAACAAAAGCAGAACGAGAGAAAACGAGGTGGTATCACATGAAGATGATACCCATCTCAGGAGCTGCGATATTGTTGGATTTCTGATTTCTTAAACTAACAAATCACGGTTAACATTAACTTAAACCAGTGAGAGGTTTATTTCAAATAAACTGAGATTCACACATAGCCGTATGCATAATGCCCTTACTACGTTGTACTACACAACTAGAATTAGAAAATAGTCAAGCTACCTTCGATACGTTAGAACTTGTAACGAATATGTGGAAAAACATGGATACGATAAGAGTTGAACTAACCGACAAGGATCTTGCTGGATAAATTTATGTTAGGGGAAAAAGATTTACGTCTTCTGCTGTGGCTCGCATCAATACCGTTAGTTCACAGCTCTTAGGCCATCAGTAAGTCATTGGTTCCCGTAGAAAAAGGGAACCTAAAAATAAAGACAGCTGTAAGTAGTGTAGTAACAATTCTGAAATCCGACTTTCATTTAAATTCGGCAATCAATGCAATCAATGCAGCCATAGCCAATTCATTCGAGAGGTGCTCCATTGCAGGAGATTCACAGATTGCAGACAGCGGAGACCCACATCTGAAGACGAACGGCCATGGGCAACTGACTCGAATCAATAAGGCTCTCAAAAAGGCGAACACGTCGAAACGTTCGTCGAAAAAAATTGTTTATCAACCTCTTGTTAGCTTGTCAGTGAAGGAGAACACAACTGTACTAGTTTGCCGTCACATGCTTGTCATAAGGATCCCTACTAGTAATCGTAACTTGGACTCGATACCATAGTTAAAGTTGTAGTCAGCCTACCTTATGCTCCCATACGGTGATAGTCTCGCTCTAGGAACTTCGCAAAATAGGAAATGACGAATAAGGAAGGATACGAACAAAACGAGTCCAGGAAAACAACCGATGGAGCTACTGCGTTCCATTTCCCTTCAATATTACAAAGCATGAAGTCCGTTTACAAAACGTTCTTTCCTTACAATAGAGTCTTCAAAATTTCCATACTTAACACAGACGGGTGAACTGGAACCAAGAACTAAACGACGGATTCTGCTAGTTTACAAGGGTGATAACATGGGAAGAACTGGATGGACCAGCTGCCATATTGAACGAATTGCTCGTTCCAACTACAAATCAGAACCTTACCTGAAAACATCTTAAAGGAAAACAACTTCAAACTCAAGCAGATATTTCAATAGCAGCTACAATCACGCGATTCATCCTTATGCTGCCCCACGGTTAACAAGTAGAATCCTATACGAAACTTCAACTTTTGGAAAGTACAACAGATCGGTGTATTGATTGGTGTGAATATCTACATCAAGCGTCTTCATCATTATATCGATCAATGGCTATCGTGGTTTTCTCCGCAGTGAAGTCTAACGCCAGCAACTCCGATTCCGCCATCCATCATCCATCAGCAATACTTGGGACCTACTCACTGCGCGGCATTGATCGTCAGGAAGTTCCGCTTGGGGCCAACCTGCCTTCACTATTGACTTCCGCGTTACTGTACCGGCCCTTTACGGGCGGCTTGCGTGCTCCTTCGTCGTTACTGTATGGTACCATACCTTTCCTTACTTATCCGCGCGGCAATTTGCTTTTTTTAAAATGCTATTGTAATTTTGGTTCCGACGTGCCGTAGTTGAAAGCATCGTTCGTTCATCGATGCATTTTGGCACGCTGTTCTACGCCGTCGGAGTCGATTTCCTCAGAAATCGATTTGCATGGAAGTCTTAAAGGAAGCTCCGCGAGTTGAGCGAATGTCGTGGATGTCAACTAGAGAGGCAAATCTGACATTTCTCCACTGCTCTCACCAAGGAAATCAGAAATACATTCTACAGGTGGTGGAGAGTTGTGGGATGTAGGTGTTACGGTCTGACCAATCTTCGGCTTAGGTGTGTTCTGAAATTATCAGGTGAGTTGTGTGAAGTTTATAAGGGAGCTCTACCAGAAAATTTCATACTTTCTTGTGGAAGTGTAAGAAAAAGGAAGATGTAGTGCTCTTGGTGGCCATAATTCTTTTTGTCAAAACCTATTTGTATGAGAAGTTCGTAGTTCGTGCTCTGAAATGGGTTCTTCATGTGGAATCGGAGATTTGTACCATATTCCATGGAACTAGATCCAGTCACTTCAGCAGTTGTGAGACTCTACACAACCGCGCAGTTTCGCCCTTGTAATTATCCAAGTCTGGTCGAAGTGCAATGCGATAGTATATGAATCTATATGAATGCATAGATCATTTGCTAAGGTGCCATCGTTGGATCTATAGTAGAATTCTGTTGTCTACCTACTCTTTTATAGGTTTCCATTTGTGTACGCAGCTGTAGGAAGCTTGAGACTCCTCAGGTTTAAATACTACTATCATTCTACAATGTAGACCTATTCTGTTCTCTATAAAAAATCTGAACAAAACTATAAATCCTACGACAGCACTAAGAGCTTTAGCGATTATAATGCCCACTGTGATATTCTAATGTGTTTTCCTTTGTCCTCTCGGTTCCTTTTCGAGCTCGGTATTGCTCGCTGTTTACGGTTTGTTTTTAGGTATTTCGTTTGATTTTGGTCAACAAACCGGCCATGGATCTTCCCCACGAGGTGGTGTATCACCACCACCTCCCCGTGGATGCCGAGGAGGAAATGCGAATGATGGAGGATCAGGTAGAAGAACACATGGATGATATTGAATATGGGGTGCGATGGTACTTTTATTAGTTCCGCTTTTAAAGTAAAGTTTTAAGAACATCGTTCATGTGTTATGTTTTGTGGTTCGAGGTAGCAAGCTTGTTAACTTTTTAGTGTTAGTGTCGGTTTAAAATGTTGTCACACTTCTCTTTACTATAGATATAGGTTGTGCCCATTCCTCTATGTCTATCAATGATCTTGACAACTCAAATCCATAATTTCCATTAAGTTATGACTGGTCCATCTGACCTTTGTTGACGCGAACGTGCGCACCACTCCCTTCCTACTTTCAAAGAGTTAGCAAGGGAAAAAGAGATGAAAACAAGGAGTGATGTCAGCTTTCCATTTAATGGCAAGTGTTTACTGTTAGCTTATTGTACAAGTTATTTGTTATAGGCTGATGTCAGTATTGACGGTGGGTTGACGGAACCACGTGCAGTTCATCAGTGCAATATTTGCAACAAGATTTTTGTCTCATTTAAAGGTCCGTTGTAGCAGTTTCGTCTGTTTATAGTGGAAAACCTTCTACGTGTGAGTTAGTAACAGAGTGTCTATTTGTCCAGGCTTGCAGCAGCATGCGGTGATCCATACAGACCAGAAGCCATACCAGTGTGACATTTGCAGCAAATCGTTCAGATTCAAATCCAATTTGTTCGAACACCGATCTGTACATACAGGCTTCACGCCGCATTCATGTCCGTACTGCGGCAAAACTTGCAGGTAGAATTAGTTGGTAGTTGGGATTGAAATATTCTGGTAAGTCCTGGTGGATATTTCATTGTTTCCAAAAAGGCCGGAAGAACATATAATTGGTTGAGTAAAAATGAGACGTCACAGAAGAAATTGTGTTCTAGGTTGAAAGGAAACCTTAAGAAACATCTGAAGACTCACGTCACTTCAAAAGATGAGTTGGAGCGAGCATGGCGACCGTTTGCATGGTTGGTCAATTTGCTGCTATCACTATGTTCCTTGCAAAAGTCTATACTAAAATGATGATCCCTTTGCTGTTATATCACATATTATCGTATCCCGTTTTAAAACCATGAAAATACCTGTTATTTAACCCTGGAGCGTTAGTGTTTCGTCTATCTTTCTTTTATTTCTGTATGGTTTATGTTGCATCCTTAGCCCTTACGTTCCCTTATATTTTTTTTTATTTTTTCAAATCAGTAGGGGTCCCATCAACACGGACGCCACTTTCCTTAATTCTATGTGGTGGCCGTCGGTACCAAGTGTAATTTTTCGATTCATGTGGTATACAACCACAACGTTGCTGAGATATTTGCAAAACTCTGGACCGCAGGTGTCTATGGTGGGGAACGAACGCGCTATTATCCTTTCCGGGGAGTAACGCGTTCACCACCACACCATGCGGGTCCTTTGTTTCGCACGTCTCTCAGCT